TAGCTCGCTGTCCTTTACCCCGCACTTCCGATAAGCACGGTCGCCTACGCACGGTGCGAAAGAAGTCCAACATAACTTATATACGCCTCGCCACCGTTGAACGCACGTGGCCACGCCGAGTAACGGACGCCACGTGGCGGTGGTCGCGTCACATTTGCCCCGGCGCTTCGCACCGAACGAGCGACGAGGCACTCACTTGATGAGGATGGCCTTGCCCGCCTCCTCGTAGTTGGAGTAGACGGCCTTCCAGCTGTCGGCGATGGCAGCCTTCTCGGCGCCAGACAGAGCCCCAACACTTCCAGAGTCGACGATAGGCATGGCGAGAATTAGGGGCTTTGCAGCGGTTTGCAAGAGACAACGAACGAGCCGAAGGCGGGATTCACAGGAGGCGATGCTGTGCAGTATCAGGAGGAGGGGGGCCCTTAAATAGCGAAAGATCGAAGGCCCCGCTTGCTTAATCCGTTGTTGTGCAACGTGAGGTTAAGTAAGGTGAGTAATTAATTGTGATGTTGCAATGCATGCGAGATATACATTTGTTTGGTGATCAGCAAACGTTCAGGATATTTCCAAATCAGGTTTTCGACAGATTCGGGTTATGACAAGATTAAGGCTTTGAATTGTACGCCGTGTGGAATATCTCGTTAAATATGGCACGTGTTTTACTCCATCTTTAACACCGTGATTCCATTGCGGGATTTTTCGTGAAACAAATACACACGACTTAAAGCTTCCGTGACTGCATGCGTGACTTTACCGAAAGACCCAAAGAATATGAATACAAATACACACGGTTCATTGTTCTGGCTGTCCAACACGTGGCCCATATTCATGCAAATTGTATCAGCAGGACATAATGTAAATCCAACAAAAATGTAGACCAAAAATGTAAACCAAAAATGTAAACCAAACCTCACAATACACATTACCTTGACATTTTATTCTGACAGAAAAAATAATAGATTATTTTCAGTGCTCCGAGTACAGGAGGATTGTGAGTACACGGGCGGACATCTGTCTCGAATTCTTTACTCGTTTCATGAACAATAACGACCCCGCTTTTGCCCCCATGCAGAAACCAGAAGTCGTGGCCATGGGTTATGTCACTGCAGCGCTCTGTACTGACTTTGCACGGTTACGTAGCAAAGAGAGACACGGGAGCTGTGTCCAAAGCTCACAAACAAAACCCGCTCTCATTCACCAGCCTGATATGCATCCATTCCGTTTGGTTTAACCTACGGTCGTTTGTGTCTCTGTGCCATGCGCAGCTCCGTCTCAGCTCATTTGCTGAATATCAGCGCGTTACACATCTTGAAAGCATTGATTTAATGCTTAAATTTCGCCGAGTTAAATACAGAAAAATAATTATCCTGTTAACCGAGTGAAAGTCACAGTTTTTGTATTGCTTCTGATGCGATACATTTGTAATTATTTTCAGCCCTTGAATCCACTGCTGGATGAAGGCCTCACTACGCTGTGTTCAGTCATAGGGGGTTGTTTGACCATACTTCACCATGCCGGTCTGTGTTGGTTCGTGAGGTTGAAAGCACAGGACTGGTTCAAAATATCACTCGTCACAGTGCGCCACCACTTCCCACGCTTTTGTACAATTCTATTTGTGATTGTCGAGATTGTAATGTGTTTATTTGAAATGATAAACATTTGTATTAGTTCTATCTTAGGCGTAGTAATTTTATTACAGCACTGTTTTAAGTTTGGGGATTTCATTGTGATGTTATAGCTGCTCGTTGCTACATATGCTGATGGCGAGTGTGCAGGATTGACACAACACGTGCTGATGATATCAGATTACCGTATCCTGTCATCAGCAATTTGGCAACTTGCCCACTGACAGATACGGTGACTTTTCAAAACGATCAGTGATGTTGCTCAAACTCGATTGTCCGTGCGTATTGGTTGAGTAACGCAAACCTCTCCGGGTTCGCTTGCATTAACTTTGCAATGCAAATATTATAAAACATAGTAACTGCTTACTCTTTGTTTTTTTTTGCGTTAATTGTGTTTTAACCGACCGTTTGTGTTGCTTTATATAGTTTCCAAATTTTGCTAAACCCTGTTTGATTTAGTGTGATGTTCCGTCTCTCTGTATCCCTTGGTATATCTGTGTTAATTCTCCCTACTTTAGGTCTGTCTGCGGTTATATGTTTCCTCTACCTGATGATGATTGCTTGTGTTGCGATCGAAACGTCGTATACTATTATATAATTTTATTTTTTATTATTTTTTATTATTTCTACGTGACTTTACCGAAAAAAACAAAGAGTAATTCAGGCAGTCACGAAAGCGCCTAATCATAGTAACTGCTTATTTGTTTTAAAAAGCCAGACATAGTCCAATAACTTTTTTCTCTTGGATGTTTCCTACATTGTATGATTTGATTTTAATGTTTTCAGCCAATGTATGAGTGCGAAACCGAATAATCCAGAGTAAACGCAAGCATGCGGAGGCAGTGATGAACACGATCCCTGGAAAAAACTATGAAAACTATTTTTATTTTACCAGGTAAGGCCCACTGAGCTATGTAGCTCTTTTCCAGAAAAGACCTGGCTATCACATATGACAGCTCAACGAAGTGGGCTTATCACGTGGAAATGGATTGCAGCCAAATGCTCTCGACGCGTGATGTTGATTCTAAATGTGGAAGGAAAAAAAACGGAGGACCCGGAGAAAAATCCTCACAACCACGGGGAGAGAGACAGAGCACGCAAACTCCAAATATACATGCATCAGGGTCGGGGTCGAACCCACGACCTTCTGTACAGACGTACACAGGTGCAGATTACACGATAGCATGGTTGTCTTATAACGCACATTACGCGTTCACCGTCTTCGAGACATGTGCAGCCCACTGAATGAACAACGTTGTAATCACTCTGCTGCCAGTCGCGTGGTGGGAGATCTTGAGCACTTTTTTTACATCTAGATTGAAAAGTTATTTCTTTAGAACTGCTTTTTGTGTGTTAGTTTGTTACCCTTCCCCCCGCACCTACGATAAGCACGGTTGGCTACGTACGGCGCGAAAGAAGTTCAACATCCAACAACAACATTTATAGCCTCAAGCCTTACATTTAGGTGTAATTACTCCTAGCATTTGACATTGTTATACAGGGTGCTTTAAAAAAATATGTGAACACGTCTGAGAATTGACAACAAGACCACAAGAAAAGTGTCGCCTCCGGGCTCTGTAGAACACCTGGTGAAGATTCCAGGCAGCGTTGACAATGATGGCGAACAAGTGGAGACTTTTTGACTTTTTGAAGCTATTAACATTACGTTTGTTATCATGTTACAGTGTATAATCCGTTCTTTTTCCATTAAAAACGATAGTCCCATATAAGTGTTAAAAACATTTTTAAGCACCCTGTATTTGTGAACAATTAAGATATGAAGAATCGTATTCTTGGTTCTTTCTTTTGCAGGGGTCGGCAAACACAATAACTAGAGGAGCTATTGTTTTCTTCGAATTTGGTACAAAAGCCTCAATATTTCAAGAGCAGCAACGTCGCTGCGGTGGTGAACGCGAGACCGGTGGATGGTGGGGTCCTTCACAAATGTTGGTCGCGAAGCAGCGGTCCTTGAAGAGCCACGGCGTGCGACGGCTGCGGAGATGCAGGGGTTGTCCACCACCCCTGTGGGCTCGTGAGCGGCACGGGGGCGAAATAATTAACAACTTGTGCGCCTAGCAGCAAGAATTCGTGGGTTCAAGTCTCTACCCAGGTGCGTTTCTGTGTAAACATTTTAATGCCCTCCCCTTAAATTTTGATTTAAAGCTTTCGTGACTGCAGTGATTCATATTCTTGGTTCTTTCTGTAAAGTCACGTTGAAGGGAAACAATAAAATAATATATAAAACAATAAAATTCTCACACACCTGATGATGACTGTTTGCGTTACAGTCGAAACGTCGTGAGAATTTTATTGTTTTATATATTATTATTGTATTGTTTCCCTTCAACGTGACTTTACCAAAAGAACCAATATGTCCTCCCCTTGTTCTGCGTGGGTTTCGCCTGGGTTGTTCGCTTTCCTCCCATTGCTAAAATACATTAAAAGCAACCTTGCAACTCGTAATGGTCAAGACATCTCAGTGTAAAAAAAAAAATCACGGTGCTAATTCTTCAATTGGGATTACACAACAGCAGCAGCCTCGCTGCTGTGAAAACTTGGCAGGACCCTCCTGAAGAAAAAATATAGTCTTGAGACCCGTTAAGGCTTTGCTGGGTGAACAAGTAACAACTTGTGCCTCATAGCAAGAACACGTGGGTTCAAGTCTCTACCCAGGTGCGTTTCTCTGTAAAATATAAATGCCCTCCCCTTATTCTGCATGGGTTTCGTCTGGGTTCTCCGCTTTCCTGCAATAGCTAACATAAGATTTAAAAAAACACACAACCTTGTAACTTGGTATTGGTCAAGACTTTTTAATGCAAAAAAAATCATTACGCTGCTAATGCCTCAGTTGGGATTACACACAAAAGCAGCCTCGCTGCTGTGAAAACTTGGCAGGACCCTCCTGAAAAAAAAGAGTCTTTCAGTTTCTTTATATTGGTATAGCCCTGTGAGCCATTCGGCTCTTGAATCGGGTGCAACCACAACAAACAAAAACAAAAAAAACAAAAACACGAACAAGAAAAACATCTTGAGACCCGTTGAGGCTTTGCTGGGTGAACAAGTAACAACTTGTGCCTCACAGCAAGATCCTTGCAGTGCAAGTCGTGACAATAAGACACATTCTGTGATGCCGACATGAAGCCCACGCATCACTACCTCGCGGGCGACGTGCCTCGCCAACGCCGCTCTGAAATGACGCCATCCGCCAGCATACACATGACGTCACTCGTCGATGCCGCAGGACGGCGACGTCTACCGCCAAATGTCTGCGAGTTGACGTCATCGCCTCTCCCCGCCGCCGCCGCCCCCGCAACGCCGATCCGCGGCCAACGTCACCCAAAGCCTCACGTGGCGGGGTGACGTCACCGGCGCCAGGTATATAAAAAAAAAACCCGCGTGCCGTAGCGCGAGACGGCCTCCCCGCTGGCCCGGCCACAGCACGCGAGGCCCCGTGCGAGCCACACGCGCGGCACCCTTCCCCCCAACCCCCGGTGGCAGTGCGTGGTGGTGGTGGTGAGGAGTAGAGGGGGTCGGTGAGTGAGTGAGCGAGCGTTGTGAGAGGAGAAGGGGGGCTGTGAGAGAACGCAACAAACATGACGTCCTCGCAGTCCGGCCCGCGCCGCGTGACGTCACAGCAGCACGTGGGGCGACGTGCCGGCGGCCATGTTGGTAGGGGAGGAGTAGGGGGTGGCGGTGGTGGTAGTGGCTGCGGTCAACTTCGGGCGCGCGAGCCGTCGGCCGAGGAGCTCAATCGGAGGCCGCCGCTGGCTGCCGCCGCCGCCGCCGCTGCTGCTACTGCTGCTACTGCTGCGACGACCAAAAAGAAGGAGGAGGAGGTGGTGGTGGAGAGGTGGAGGAGAGAGGAGCGGAAAAACGGGGAGAGGAGGGGGGCGACTCGAACGGCCATGAACCGGCAGAAGACGGGTGCCACTCGGCGGCCCAGCAAACCCTCGGGTAGGCCAGGCCTGGGGCCTCGAGTCTTCAGTGGAACTGGTTGCTCGTAATGATCACGCACGGTCCTTGGTCTATCCACTGCTAGAGAGCGAGAGAGAGAGCGTCGTTTTGGGCCAAACGTCACTGCACCGCTCGCCACTGATGTTAGCCGCGACCGGGAATCGAACGCGCGTCGCCAGGTTCGTGGGGAGGAGAGAAAGAAAAATCAACACTGCCGTGAAAATAAACAAAAATGCAGTCGGCGACGTTTCGAGCAATTGCCCTTCACAACGCAGGCCAGAGAGAGTGATCCGGGCTCATGGCGCAATGAGCTAATCGCTGCGCCACCGCCCATGCTTAGAGCATAGCGATTGACGTTTGTCAATATCTTACCCATCCTCGAGCCACCACTGGGATGCACTTTTTAAAAATCCAAATTACACTTCTGGCTCATTCGTGGTCGGTTCCACGTTCCTACGGTGGAAAGCTGGCGGTCGCGATGGTGATGGGAGTGCGCTAAGAACCAGGTCACCTTGTCAAGGGCTAAGCATCGGCGCATTGTGACGTTCGAACTGATGATCCTGGGTGTTTCGACCCTCGCTGCCCAGGATGGTGAGGTGTGATGAAACCACCCCGATGATTTCTGGGCGTGGGAAATCCTTCATCCAGCAGTGGATTGACAGATTAATCTATACAGTCCTGTAATGTTAAAAGGTTACAGCCCTGTAATTATATTCTTGGTTCTTTCGGCAAAAGTCACGTTACTTTACCGAAAGAACCAAGAATATGAATCCCTGCAGTCACGAAAGCTTTAAATCAAAAGCCCTGCAATTGCTTGCCGGTATAACACTGCAGGCGCTGGGGCTTCCACTTGGCTCAATAGGAGACGACCCACAGTTTTACCCTACCGCACGAGACCCTCTGAACGGCCAAATACGCCGGAACCGATTTGTATTGCCGTGTGGACAGTGATTTAAGGAACTAGCTCCCATTGTTTCCCACTGCCGCATTGGGACGTGGAATGGAACCGGCCACGTGTGGATTACAAATCCGGTGCAAACAATTACCCCTCGGCAGCCATCCCACCGTAATAAACAAATACGGAGAGTTTCATATATATAATTGCCACTAATGTTCCATAATGGTGCGTGACAAGTGTGTCTACTCTGTTGATTTTTTTGTGGTAAACTGGCCCCATCGCAGCTGTTGTCAATAACATCTGGCAACCCAACAGACTTGCTTCTGCCGGTGATACCACAAAGGGTGCTAAGTTTTGCTTGCTTAAGTAAATACTTCGATTTAAAGCTTTCGTGACTGCAGAAATTCATATTCTTGGTTCTTTCGGTAAAGTCACGTAGAAGGGAAACAAAGAATCAAGAATATAAGTAAATACTGCTTGCAAACTATTTCTTTAAAAAAAAAACTCAAATGAGATTGGGCAGGACATATCCCTAGACAGGATGATGGTCGTCGATGATCAATGAGGCTGGTGACGGAGAGGCGAAAACAAACGCAGATGCATATCAAAAGTTCACACAATTGGTCACCTAACACGCAGTGCCCCCACGTGTCCTCCACACCCAACAGCTCACCCACCTCCCGGCGACTTCATCGCCCTGGGCAGCAAGGTGCAGTCGATCGACTCGAAGTCCGTGCCGACCCTGCACAAATCCGGCGCTGGTGGCCCTTTACCCAGTGTGGGCTCCTCATTGGTGGGAGCCGGCTTGGTGCTAGGCGGGGAGCGCAAGCGTGATGCGCCATCCAGCTCGACCTCCGGCGCCAGCCTGGGCAAGAGGCCCAAGCTCGGAAGCCTCAGCGGTAGCGGCGGGGCCCTGAGTGCCCTGGGCCGCCTGGCGGACGCTGCGGACGCCGAGAGGAGGACCATCTCGCCATCCATCCGGGAGCCGTCGGTGGTGCCCATTGAAGGTGAAGTGAGAGCATCGGCTGCTACTGGGGATGTAAAGATTCGCCACCCCGCCCCGCGATTCGATGAGTTGTCGCGATTCGATCGCGTGCGACGCACACGGGTCGAAGCGAACGGAGCACTTGTCGGTGCTTGCGTAATGACGCGTCAATTCATCGTTCCATTCATCGAATTAGTCGCGTAAGAACCGATTATTTCCAATTAATGGAAATTATACGCTTGCGCGACATTTAGACTGTAGGCGCGTACGCCTGCGCGTGCGTGTGTTAACGTCCGTTCACATGCGTTTGCGGGGTCTGCACGCGTGTGTGTGTGCGCGTGCTTTCCTTTGCCTGCACGTGTTTGTGCACAGTCCCACCGAGCGCGCTGCTGGACGCCATCGAGGCGGCGGAGAATGAGGGGAACGACGAGCGTGTGGACGGGCTCCTGTGCGGCGCCGTCAAGCAGCTGAAGGCGAACCGCGCGCGACCAGACCCCACGCTCTTCCTCACCCTGATGCACCTTGCCAAGGTCAAACCCAACGTGTTCGCCACGCAGGGCGTCATCGAGGTGAGAGCGTGCCCAGGGGGTGCCCTTGAGGGGGCGGGGGGGTGCGGCCGCGTAGTAGTCGGCATGGTGTGAACAAGTCGTTGGGGTTAGGGCGCGTGCACCCGAAAAGTTTGAGTCGGCGATGACCAATCGGACTAGATTTCTTCAAGCACAGTGGTGGCTACGACTAAGGCACCAAAAGACAAAAGCTTGATGGGCTTTGGTGGGACGAGATTAACGTTTGTGAATAAAGACGCAGAATCGAGATAATTTAGTCAGGTTATTAGAGACAGCATTGCACTGAGGAAGACCAAAAAAATAGTAATTGGCTATAACATAAAGATATCTGCCCAGCCTAATGATGGACAGGATGAAATCTAGTCAGGTGGGAATTGTGCACCCCTCACAGCAACTTGTAATAACAAAGAACGGACAACAGTTTTTATTACTTTAGTCGACAAGACTTAGAGAATTGCCATAGTAAAATCCACAAACTAGGACGTGACAAGTATTTTACTGGTTGTGGTCGCCTAGACCAAGACCATGACCAATATCACATTTGCTGACAAAGTAAACGGTGGTTGTGGGTGCAGGCCCTGTGCAGCCTGCTCAGGAGAGACCCGACCGTAACGATCAAGGCCAAGGGGAACCCCCTTGTGTCCGTGCTGGCCTGCAACCTCCTCATGGCCGCCTACGAGGAGGACGAGAACTGGCCGGAGCTCTTCGTCAAGGTAAGCTGAGTGGGTGTGAGCAATGGAATTGGTGATGAAACGAGACGATAATACGATACGGAGCACGATTTGGAATGGAATTTTTAGTCCAGCTAGCATGCACCGAATACGTCGAAGAACAAACGCGTGTCGGAAAGAATTTTCATGACCTTGACTAACTAATTCACGCCCTCCTTGACTCCCATCCTCCATGAACCCGGACGCCGACCTCGTTCCTGTCGCCCCGCCGCACGCCAGGTGTACATCGAGGACTCGCTGGGCGAGCGTATCTGGGTGGATAACGTCCACTGCAAGGCGTTTGTGGAGAACATCCAGACGGCGTTTGGCACCAAGTCGCCCCCGCGCTGCCTCATGCTGCCCGCGGAGGGGGCGCGCCCGGGCGGCAGCGACGCAAGCGCCGGTGAGGCCCTCTCCGCAGTGGCCACTCTGGCACACGGTCAACACGGGTGGGGGAGCGTGGTGGTGGTGGTGGCGGTGGTAGTGAGACTCTCGCTGCCAGGTTTGGAACAGCGGCTCCCAACCTTTTCGAGTGTTAGTTAATCCTCTTCATCCCCTGTGGGACATAATGCCGCAGTGAGTTTCCTCCACTTGTTCCCGTCCTTGGCAACATGTTGAGCCTCGCCCAAAGAGAGGATGATCACTGCCACCAGCTCGTCCTTCACGGTCTTGTGCCACGTGTTTTTTTGTCTTCCGGGTTTCCTTTTGCCCGATGGTGTCCTTTTTGAGTGTGCGGACCCCTTTTCAATCTCCAAGCATTTCGCGGACCACCACGTGCGACTACTTCAGTTGTTTGAACATTTCTTTCCTTGGTGAGGATGTTATTGTTTTTCTTTTCCGTGGACCACAGAACTTGAACCGCTGGTCATGAGCCATGGGAAATGGTCTGCTGAACTGTTGCAGATACGGGGTTTGTTTGTTGTTGCAAAAGACGGTGTTTTGCGTAATAATTTGGGTTGACAGTGGTCCCACCGGTCGAGAGAAGTTGGAACTTCCTGGTCTAAGTCACAGTCAAGGTGGTGGGGGGCAGTGAGAGATGTGGCAGTGGGGGAGGGTAGCGTTCCCTTCTAAAGGAATTGACCAAATTTCTCCGTGCAGGACCCTACTGAAAAAGAGGCTTGAGTCCCAATCGTATTTTTCTACTTGAATAAAACTGGTCTTATAAGTCGATCGCATGTGAGAGAGTCGTATTAAGATTTGTGTTATGATAATTTTACATTTTAAGGCTAAATAGTGTTCACAAACTTTACAAATGAGACAACTGAAAACAATACAGCACAAGAGACGGTCCGCATTGTGACAATTTCATCAACTCGCTTGCTGCTGTTCATGAGTTTTAGGCCCCGGCGCTTATCGCTAATGGTCATGATGGGTGAACACTGTGTAATTGAAGTCTACTCGATGTTGTTCATCGTCGTTTGATTGATGAGCAGGTGCCAGCCCCCACCTGGCTGGGGAGGAAGAAGACAAGAACCAGGAGCCCCCGGACCTCCTCATTGCCGAGGACAAAACTTCGTCGGACGAGGAGACTGCGCAGACCATGAACCGGTGATTCTCGCGTTGGCCACAGCCTGTTAACGCATGGCCCACGGACCCCTGTATCACTCGCTTTAACTTTGTAACGAGCCTAGTGTGTGTGGATGCGTACAGCAACTTTGGACACTCCGCTGCAGGGATAAATGGCCTGAAGATGGGCGAGTGTAGATTTGCAGTCGAGTGGAGGATGTTGCTGCACTGCCCTCTGCTGGCCACCACGTATTGGCACAGATCCACAGCCGCCTACGACGATGTGGCGTGCGTCGTGGTCACCCATCCAAGCACCGGCCAGGCCGAACCATGCTTAGCTTCCAAGATCTGATGAGATCAGGTGCATTCTGGGTGATTTTGGCATAAGTATGACACTGAAACCATAATCTTTTTCTTATATAAGCGCTAACTTTTACCAATACGCCTACATAATTATATATCACATCTAACCTCGAACCCCACCACTTGCTACAAACGTCCCTGACCACTGAACCTGCGTCGTAGTCTCAGTACCCAACACTTAATCCTAACCCTACATTGCCAAGGCTTGTAACCGTTAATATGCACCCGTGGGTTATTGTGTGGATGTCTTGTTCTTCTGTGTGTGTGTGTGGTTGGGTGTGGGGAGTGTTGGCACAGTAGTTAGTGCAGTCTCTCCTAGGTTGACTTAGCATCAAATTAGTACCTGGTGCAGTGTGTAAACATCAGCACTGGGGAGACAAAGACAGCCAGGCATGGAGTTGTCCACCCACAGTACTTGCCCCAACAGTCTGCACGGCTATAGGGAGATCTTTGCGTTAATTTGCTATTCGTGTCTGATCATGCATTTGTGTGATTGTGTTTGTTAGGTGTGCGTGTGTGTACAACTCTGTGCGTGTACGATTCTGCATATATTGCGCGAATGCGGTTGTGCGTGCGGTGTAGTTTTAAGCACGCGATGGCTCGGAAAACGTCTGGCTACCGCCCTCTCGTCGATTGCTCGCGCGTGTGCGCTCGTCCAACGCGTTAACGCGCAACTATTTCCTCGTAGCTACGAGGACCTGGGCGAGAGCGTGGAGGAGTACGTGGTGGAGATGCTGCGTGAGCAGCTAAATCGCCGGCAGCCCATGGACAGCGTGTCGCGCAACCTGCTGCGCCTGCTGGCCGCCACGTGCGGCTACTGCCAGGCGCGCCTACTCGCCGTGCAGAAGCTGGAGATCTGGCTCCAGAACCCCAAGGTGAGCGATGGAAGGCAGGAGGAGGAGGAAGGGAGGCTTCCCGGACGTCACACTTGGCTGATGCTGAATGGGGCCGCCAATTGGACCGAGTTACGTAATCCGTGCGTATGCACCAATGTCAGAATCTGCGTGCCACTGTCAAGGCCCAAATCGGCCCAAATCGGCCCAAATCATCCCAAATCAGCCAATAACAAATGACCAGCAAGTGTTTCCATCTGCGAAAGTGACGGTGCTTCTGATAGCAGTAGCGATGGTCACAGAAGAAGGGGGCTGGTGGGGGGGGGCGGTGTGTTTGGCGAGGAAAGTGGCGACGGGGGGACGTTGGCGATCGCCGGCTCCGTCATGTTCTCGTTGCAGCTGACGAGGCCGGCGCAGGAGCTGCTCATGTCCGTGTGCACCAACTGCAACACGCACAGCAGCGACGACGTGGAGGTCATCTCCAACCTCATCAAGATCCGACTCAAGCCCAAGCCCCTGCTCAACCACTACATGCTGTGCATCAAGTGAGCAACTTACCTGGGTCATCGCTTGCTCGCTCGCCCCGCAGTTATCAATTGGTCGATGTGAGTCGGCTAAACTAGAGATGGGTCTTGACTTAAAGCTTTCGTGACTGCAGTAATTCATGTTCTTTGGATCTTTCGATAAAGTCACGTAGATAGGTTCAAAGAAAATAACAAAAAAAACTACGACGTTTCGATTGCAACACAAGCGGTTCATCATCTTCCTGATGCCGAATGAATTTTTGTTATTTTCTTTGAACCTATCTACGTGACATTACCGAAAGACCCAAAGAATAGAGATGGGTCGATGAGTCCATTTAGTTGATTAATTTACAAAAAATTGGAATAGATCTAAAAAATGTAAGTCGATTGCTCAGCCCCTTTAGACATACAGCACCCCCCACATCCCTGGATAACCGGTGGCACACTAATTAATTACGTGTTACCCAGTTGAGTAATCGAAACCGTAGTCGGTAATTAATCAATCGGATGAGAAATCGAAAAATATTGCACGAACTTAAATCGATGTTAAATGTCTCCTAAGTTGGCTTGAGCATATTTTTAGATCGACCTTCATACAATTACCATTAAATAATAGGCACTCTGTCCGTGGTTTAAAGCTGGCAGAAACCTGGCAGCACGACTGTAATCAACTAATGTGCGTGCGTGTGTTTCTTTCAGGGAGCTGTTGAACGCGCACAAGGACAACCTGGGCACGCTCGTCAAGTTCCTGCTCTTCAACGAGCTGTCCAACATGCGCAACCCCAACAACATGCAGGTGCTCTACACCGTGATGCAGCACGCGCCCGATGGCGCACCCAAGGTGAGAACCCCCGGGCACGCGGAGCGACGGCGCCGGCCACACACACACACGGATGAGAACAAACGGGGCGTGCGAGTGCGGGGTTCAGGAATCGCTTTCGGAACTCGCGCTTGTCCTCGGGAAGCTTTTAATCGGCGGCGGCGGCGGCGACGTCACCTGTGTAGTCGCGCGATGACGTCGCGGGGATGCGTGTGACGCCATCGCCCTTGTATGCATGTCTATTGAACTTTTTTAGCACCGTACGTAGCCAACTGTGCTAATCGGAGTTGTGAAGAGGTGCCTTGGCCGTGAAAGCCCAGTTCATTTCACGGGAACGGTTTTGATGACGAGGGCCTAACCGTGAGCGCACGCCTGTGCTGGTGCTTTCCGACCGCCCTCTAGTACCTGGCCATGGTGTTCCAGGACCTGCTCGTCAACAAGGAGGACTACCTGCGCGCTTCGCGGCTGCTGCTGCGCGAGATCGTCAAGCAGACCAAGCACGAGATGAACTTCCAGGCCTTCTGTCTGGGCCTCATGCAGGAGCGCAAGGAGACGCAGTTCCAGGATCTCGACCACAAGGTTTGCGCGTGCGGCCAGCGCGACAGGACCTGGGACACGAGACTGTGGGCCGTGTCGCGATTGGACCACAGGACAGAGGGATCACATGTCCACGCCTCTTGGCAACTTGGTGTTAAGCAAGACAATTGTTTCGTGTTGGTTGTTGGGGTGTTTTGTCGCGTACTTTTGATATATCTCCTGCACGTTATCCATTCCGCAACCTGCCTCCCTCCCTTACAAGGCTTTTACGGGTTGAGAACTGCAGAATTAAAGATCAGAATCGATGTTCAGCACACATACATACGTGTTATAAAGGGCTGAGTGGACTCTCGGCCAGGATTTAAACTCGCGAACTTAAGATTGTGAGTTGCTTGCGCCATCAACTGCACCAGTCAGCCGGATTTCACACCGTACATTGTCGAAAAAAGATTGTAGCAAAGCATCCGGTTAGCGTGAGATGCGGTCGTCACGCGGTTAGTATGCGGCACGTAGCCGGGTATTGTGGTGGTGGTAGTGGTGTTGGCAACACAATGATATCGCTTGTTTAACTGCATCCGTGTCGTGCTTTTTGTGCTCAGGACCGGTTCGTAATCCAGACGACGGATCTGCTAACCCTGGCTATGATGCTGGGCATTACGGGGCAGGTGAAGGAAGCCGGCCTCGCTTGGGACAAAGGCGAGAAGAAACGTGAGTCCTTCGTGGCGTGCGTCGATCGTTCAGGCGCAAGCGGTCGTACGGACCTGCCCGGCGTTAGATTGCCGAGTGACTCTCACAGCCCTTTATATGTGCATTTGTTCGTGCGTGCGTTTGTAAATTCAGACCTGGATCAGCTGAGGGCCTTCCAGAGGCAGATCGCAGCGATACAGCGAGATGCCGTGTGGTGGCTCCACACTATCGTGCCCGCCATGTTCAAGCTGCCCGCCAAGGACTACGTGCACTGGTGAGCACCGTCACTCACCGCTCACCCGCTCACCCACTCCATTCCTTAAGCTTAGTGCACGCCTATGGCCATGTGCAGGGTGCGAAAAATGTTGGAGCCATGTGCCTCTACGGTAAAGTATATCAGATGCTCCAACTGGGAACAATTTACTTGGACATTCATCTCACTTCATTTCGCACGGGATGCTTAAACATTCCCGAATTTCAAGGACGCGCGAACATTCCACATTGATGCTTGGCGCACTTGGCTCTTTATTTACAACACCAAATATTGAGGTCCTGAAATCGCGATGGTTCCTGACGTTTGCCTCGCCGTGTTCAAAGAAGCATGGAGGCCTCGTGGGGAAAAGAATTCACATCACCTTCCACAGCCGGTCTTCTTTTAGTGTTGTTTTCATGCAGCAACGCATGTTGGTTAAACCGGTCACTCGCCTACCAATTCTCACGGCAGCAATGCAGAATGGACTGTCGTCTTGTGTGTCTCGACCTGCTGTGTGTGCTCACATTGGTGCGTGTGTGCGAGTGCAGCCTGTACAAAGTGCTGTTCACCGAACAGCCCGAGACGTACTACAAGTGGGACAACTGGCCCCCCGAGGGAGACAGGAAGTGAGTTCCCTGGTCACGTGTGTCATCCTGCCACCACCACCATCTTGTGCTGTCATTGCCACGAAAACGTCATGATCATGAGCCATTATCGATCCGCTGCTGTGTCAAGGCCCTCCCCTTGCTGTTGCCATTCCTCACAGTCATTCGATGGTACAATTTAACCTCTTGCACGTGAACTTATATACCCTGTTTCACTTATATACACTTATATACATATTGTCTTCATTGTCAGCTATTGGATATTTCCTGCTGTTTGAAGGACTCTCTCCACTGTCTTCATCACTTCATCACTCATAGTACTGCGATGCCACAATCCATCTGTTCCTGCACGTGAACTGGCATTGTTCCTGTGGCTGCTATTCTCCCTCCAGTCTTGTCCACCAACCGTCAATCCGAGGTAGGACATTGACATATCGCTAGAAGGGTTCTTCTGGCAATTTGTCAATTTCCTATCTCCGATGTGTTTCATCCCTGATTCGTGTGTTCTTCTTCCCATCTCTGTAATTCCTATTGTGTACCTCTCCACACTTCCTCGTGCACTTTTACAGCTTTCCTTCCATTTCCTTTTTCTCGGCGTCCTTTCTCCCCCCCCCAAAAAAACAAAAAAACTATAACCGCGGCCCTCTCTCCTCTCTCTCCGCCGCCGCAGCTTCTTCCTGCGGCTCTGCTCCGAGGTACCGCTGCTGGAGGACACGCTGATGCGCATCCTGGTGATGGGGCTGTCGCGCGACCTGCCCCTAGGCCCCGCCGACGCGATGGAGCTCGCCGACCACCTCGTTAAGCGCGCCGCCGGCGTACAGGCCGAGGGCGCTCCTCCCTGCGCACGTACGTACGCAAGAGCACGCGCGAGCGGCACGCGTGACGCACGGGCACGCGCGAACGCCGCACGCACGTCCCCTGCCTCGTCGGCGCCCCCCGCCGCGTTGACCCCCTGCGTTGGCGCCGTGTCCCCACGCAGACATGGACGTGCTGCACGTCGACAGGATCCAGCTGCTGGAGGCGGTGCTCAACTTGGCCACCTACCACTACCCCGAGAACATCCACCTGCCCGCTGGGTACATTCACGAGTGTCCGCCTGCTCGCTAGCGTCGTGACCACCCCCCCCCACCCCCCCATCCTACCATCCCACCCCTACCGTCTGATTGGCTTCCCTTTGGTCTATATAGTAAGAGTTGATTTATCCGGTGAAATTGCAGGACATTGTTTTTGAAAGAGAGTCCTACATCGAGATGTTTGGCTTAATCCGTTAAGTTACATGTTGCATTGTGCGGGAGGAACCCCGAAGTAGCTGGAGAAAATGCGGCTACTCCAGAGGAAAAGATGATCTACCGAAAGGTCCGCACATGGGCATTTACAACCCATTTTCTGTACTTACCTCGCAGCTTGGCGGGTTTGGAAGTCTCACAAATCTCTGCGGGATCCAACAAACCTTGGCTCTAAAGTGTTGTATCACAGGTGTGCATAGCCACCACTAGCACGTGTCATGTGACCTGTCCAGACTTGACTGGGCCTGTGGTGGTATCTCTGTACTGAGACTCCCCTGGCTCTCTCTTTGGCACTTGCATTTCCTGTATCTGTCAAGTAGATCCCTCTCAGTGGGTGACACTACCAACGCTGTACATCGTTCTTGTTGTGTGCTGCAGGTATACCCCCCCCACCCTTGCCATCTCCAACCTCTACTGGAAAGCGTGGCTCTTGCTGCTGGTGGTCACTGCCTTCAACCCACAGAACATCGGTGCGGGACGCTTTCCAATCCCCTTTGCGATGCGTGACGGTGGTTGTGGGTGCGTGGACTCGTCCTTGAAGTGATTTCCTGCTCAAAGGAGCCTTGAGATGGAGCTCATCCCCTGTTTACAGTCCTGAGTCAGTGGTGGAAATTCCACATTCCTATGGCAGGAGCGAATCGATTCATAGAACTACCAATGTTGACTTCCCCCCAAAAAAGTGGTACTCGTTTCATTCGCCCTCGAGAGATGATTTGCGAGTGGAAAAAAAAAAATCTCAACCTGGACGTGAGCCACCTGATCAGTTATACGTCTACCTGGTGGGATCACGTGGGGAGACAACAACGGTGTCTCTGCTCGGTGTTTGGCAACACCCTCCCACCCCCTTGTGCACCTTGCTAACGCCACTGCTTGCACCAATAGTCTGTGTAGGCTACACGGAGGGATCCTTGTGTTTACTTCTGGGCTGTTTCCAAGCATCTGCGGCGTGTGTGTGTCTACGTGCAGGCCAGGTGGCCTGGGAGGATTACCCCACGCTGAAGATGATGATGGAAATGGCTATGACCAAGTAAGACTCTTCACCCTTCTGCCAAACACAACCAGTTGCCTTTTAATTAGTTAATCAAAGGAAGACACAACCCCAAAGACAACATGGAAATCAAAAACATGAAAAAAATTGATTCTGTGTAACATGTTCCAACATACATATCTTTAATTATCAGCAATGTAACATTCCAAGCCACACGACAAGATGCGATGGCGCACGGTGAGTTGACGCCACACCGAATGACATCATCGCCTCGGGCCAACAGCCTCGCTTGGCAATCCGTGCGTTGTCCGCACCGTGCATGGCCACGGCCGTCGCGCGCGGAGCGTCTCGACACGTGCAGATCTGGACGCGTGCGCGGGAGGCGAGCGTTTTTCGCGCGCTCACGCTCGCGCTCTCTCTCCCGCCGCAGTAACTACGCGTTCCCGCCGTGCACCGTGGGGGACGAGGAGTCGCGGGCCGAGCTGACGGCGCGCGAGCTGCAGATGGCGCAGGTGGAGCGGCAGGACATCCTGCAGTTCGAGAGCCACCTGGCGGCCGCCTCCACCAAGCAGACAATCACGCAGGCCAACAGCCTGCTGCTGCCCCAGCTCATGACGTTTGACCCCCGGTGGGTGGCCTATCCTCTCCACCCCCCCACCGCCCCACCCCGAGAGCTTGGGCGTGTGCTTGTATTGCGTGTGTGGGTGTGAGAACAGAGGTATTTATGTGTGTGCATAGAACTCCTGTCGCACCGTACGTAGCCAACCGTGCTAATCGGAGGTGTGAAACTATTTTTGAGACTTTTTTCCAATTTTTTGCTTGTGGTCCCCGATTAGTTGCATAATGAAACCGATAATCACCAGAGTAATGGTTTACTTGAATAATGATATAGCTCTGCTCTAATTGTAATATGCTAACTGTTGACTAGGTTGACTTGGCCTATGTTGGGCACCTGGAGCACTGCGTTGATACCCAGCGAGCTGTTGCCTCTGTGTGCGTGGATGTGAACGGGCGCTGACCGTGTGTGTGCGACAGCGGCGTGGCGCGGAGACCTCCGGCCAGCGTGGTGGAGCAACTCAAGGGCCTCAACCAGAACCTCAAACTCGGCCAGCTGCTCTGCTGCAGTCGCAGCCCTGACTTCCTACTCAGCATCATCCAGAGACAGGTGAGTGAGTGTGTGTTTGCATGCTTGCGTGCGCTATGAACCCAGCGACCCGAGTTCGATTCCCGCTCACAATCAATAACAGTGGCGAATCTTTGAACTGGGCCTCCTCCAGGTCGACTCGGCCTCAAATTAGTATCTGGTGCGGTGTGTAAACATCGTCACTCGGGAGACGAAGGCGGCCGAGCGTGGCGATGTTTACACATCGCACCAAGTACTAATTTGAGGCTGAGTCGACCTAGGGGAGGCCCAGGACCGGTTCAGATAACCCTCACCGGTTTTGGCCTTGAGCAGGAATCAAACTCGGGTCGCTGGGTTCGTCGCACAACGCACTAACCGCTACGCTACTGCATTTGCCACCACCACAATCGCCAGTCGCTGACGACACTTCTTTGGGGGCCGACTCGGCCCAATGGCCTGTGCGCGCGTGAGCAGCAGGGCTCGTCGCAGTCGATGCCGTGGCTGGCGGAGCTGGTGGAGTCGAGCGAGGGCTCCCTGGACATCCTGCCCGTGCAGTGCCTCTGCGAGTTCCTGCTGCACGACGCGGCGCAGTCGAGCGGCTCCTCGGCGGACGACGACGACTCCGGGAAGGCTGGCAGTGGCGCAGCCGAGGGCAGCGAGAGCAAGGAGCGGCGGGCGAAGCGTGCGCTGGTTGGTACCCACCCCCCACCCCACCCCCGCGTGGACGTTTGATCGCCCTCACTGGCATTCGTGCATTCTGGCATGTGACGAACACGATTGCCGTTTTTTATACATTTTTATTTTACCAGGAGAGGCCCCACTGGGCCATGTTGCTCTTTTTCATAAGCGACCTGGCCCCAAATGATAGTTCAACGAAGTGGCTTATCATGTGGAAATGCTTAGCAACCAAACACTCTAAACGCGTGATGTTGATTCTAAATGTGGAGGGAAAAACCGGAGGTCCGGAAGAGAGAGACACGCAAATTCCAAATATACAGCAGACGTCAGGGTCTGGATCGAACCCACGACCTTCAATCGCTGGTTTATTTGGCCCCGGTTATTTCTCAATATGTTTTTTTTGCGCAAATGCTATCGCCGCGCGTAGCCAAGTCCTCACGCTCGCGCGTGCCCTCTGACCCTGCCCCCGCCCCCCCCCCCCTCACTCTCTCCGCTGCAGAAACGGCGCAAGCAGAAGCAACTGCTGTCGCGCCTGCGGGAGCTGCTGCAGGGGCCCCGTGCCGCCGAGCACACCACTACCGAGGTGTTGGACTACTTCCTGCGCCGCCTGAGCTCGCAGCAAGCGGCCGCGCGCCACCTCGCCATCAAGGCAAGACGCCGCCGCCCGGTTCACCTGTGAACACTCAGCCGCCTAGACCCTACCGCTCGCCAGCCCCACGTTCTTATGTTTATTATTAGCTCACCGGCCCCAGAAACCTAAAGCTCTACACGGCCAGCAATAAACCGTAATGCTGGTAAAGTAATAGATGACGGTTAACACGTTTCTTGCACTGGGACTGGCCACTGTTTCACCAGCAGCAATCGCACCTCCGATTGGCACGGTTGGCTACGTACGGTGCGATAGAACTTCAGCATACCATACGTGCATACAATCGAACTTTGGTTGACAGACGATGGGAATCCCAAAGTGGAGTGTGCGTGACCGGTCGTTGTTTCGCTGCGCGGTTGGCCCCTCCGCGTCGGCTCGCAGGGCCTGGCGATCGTCCTGGGCACGGAGACGGAGCGCTCCAGCGTGGGCGAGGACGCGGACGCGACGCCGGCGTCGGGCGAGGACTCGCGGGGCAGCGACGCGGGCGTCCCAGCCCAGCTGCTGCTGCTGCCCGCGTTCCGCTGGCTCCTGCGCGACCTGCCCCAGCTGCCCCTCTTCCGCAGCGTGAACGCCATGACGCTGCACGCGCTTATGCAGGTGAGCGCTCGTGTGACCGCAAAGCGAATCGGACCGCGGCTACTTTTGGCGTTGTCCATTCCGCCCAGGCGAGAGTCGCATTCCTTGCGTTTAAGGCAACGGCTAAAACGCCGTAACAGGTGAGCCCCATAGTGAGACGGCTACGGTCTTCCATCCAACGGAGGAGGGACGGCAAAACTAGGCGAACTCTGTCCTCAAGCCTCTCTCGTCTTGGCCAGCAGACCTCGACATTGGCATTTAGCTCCTGAACGTATTACTACCATAGGAAAATAATATAATTCGGTAATTCGCGCCAGGAAGTGCACTACGTTTCACGGATGATTGCAGTCTCACGTAGTTTTTCACTAGGGGTGGGGACGTTGCTTTGGAACGCAGTGGTCCGCTGGTCCAGAAAGGTTGGGGAACCGCTGTTATGGACAATATACAGAACAATTGAGGACAAGATTGGAAAAGTTATGCTGTGCTATTGAGAGAGCCTGGCGTTGCTTCTCATCCATGCTCTGCGGTGCTCTTTCTCCCATGCCCACCCGAAAAGCACGGATGGTTACGTACGGTGCGAAAGAAGTTCTATATATACATACGTGCTGTGGAGGTGTTCATCACACAATAACAAAACCAGAGTTTAAAGTCCTCGAGGAGAAAAGTGGATTAAAAAATCCGAACGCACTCATGCCCCCCCCCCCCCCCACCTCTTGTTTGCCGTGCCGTCGCTCAAACGGCCAGGCCATCCACGTGGAGACCGACCCGGACGCGGTGAGCGCCTACCTGCTGTACCTGTCGCAGCACCTCCCTCTGGACGACCAGCAGATGCACAACAGCCTGATGCTGGTGAGGGAGTCGCTCACGGTGGCATTCTCACAGGAAGCTTTTGTGTGAATTCATTCTTGTAGTGTGGTTTAATTGTTGTGTGAGTGTGTGTGTGTGTAATCTGTATATTGGTGAGTATGCCTACACGTATATTCCTTTTGTTTCTGTGTGTGTGTGTATATTGTATATATGTTGAACTTATTTCGCGTTGTACATAGCCAACCGTGTGTATAAATGTGCTTGTGATCTGTATGCCGGTGTATGCCTTCGACACTTCACGTAGCCTCAAAGTGCACGTGGCCTGGCACAGGTGCCGTGGTGACGTTACCGTCACTTAGTGGCGTGCGGCGAGTATTGGTATTGGTGTGTGTATATTCTTTACATTTGAGTGTGCGTGCATATATTGTATGCGTACATAATAAAGGGCGTTGGGTATATATACCTAGGCTTCGGCAAGGTAAGGTAAAAGGTAAAAACAACGAGCCTACCTTTACCCTACCTTTTACCTTACCACAATACAATCACTCTACCCTACCTTTTACCCTTCAACAGGTAAGGTAAAAGGTTAAAGGTAAAAAGCAACGAGCCTACCTTTACCCTACCTTTTACCCTTACCCCATACAAATTACCCGATTACAGGGTAGTTACTGGGGTACTACACATGAAAAAGGTTTATAACAGGTAAATGCTAGGTAGAGTGCTTTATTCATATAGAATACTCTCGATTATTCCAATTTTACACGCTTTCTTTAAACTCACTCTGTTGTATCCTCAAATCTTGTAACTCAATTTTAACCCACTTCCCAATGTGGTTTCGACTGCAAACTTGGTATGCTTATGTCATACTTATGACAATATTATATTCTATCATTAAAAATAAAATAAAAATATTTTTAAACATTATTTTTTATGTTATGTTTCGGCTTGGGTCTAATTGTCCACCTTCAACTGACGTTGGCTGTAATTGCCCACGGTCCCTTACATTATGGCGAGCTTCGGGGCCACTTCCTGAAGTCGTGGAGTTCTGCCATTACTCGTAGATTTCATAACAGCGTGTTTTTAAAAAAGTTTTTCAAGATTATCACTTATTAAATGGAGGCCACGGACTGCACCACGGAGCTTTTAGCGGTAAACAAGGCACCGTATTTACCGGGTAATACTTCGTGCTACCTTTACCCTACCGGGTACTTCTTCCGAGCTACCTTTACCCTACCCTTTACCTTACCCCTTGACATGTCGACACATTTACCCTTTTACCCGGTAAAAAAGGTAAATTACCTTACCTTGCCGAGGCCTATATATACCCGCGTGTCGGTATGTGATATTCGTTGCGGGTTGGTGTATAGTGTCCATATGTGTATGTAAAATGTACGCAAGCGTATATGCCTGCGTGCGTCTGTTCATGTACGTGCAGCGCGTGTGCGTAATGTATGTGTAGTGCTAATACTTACGCGATCCGGCGGTAGAAATACCCACGGGATCCCAGGTTACTGTTAAGATGACGTCACGAAGGACAGGAAAGAGGAGGCGTGAGAGAGAGGGAACGCGCACGGAGGGAGTGGTGACGTCACCGGATGAGGCTGGGCGATCGTGGCGCTTCCTGGCGGGCTTCGGAGTGGAGTGGTCGCACGCTGCGTGAGCTCGTGCGGAAAACAAAGAAGAGTGTGTCGTCTCTTATCAGGTGGACTCATTGCATACGTGTGCGCGCGTCTGCACGTGCGCTTGCTTGTCGCCAGGACGTGTCGCACCTGATCGTGGAGCGGACGACCATCGTGAACCACCTGTTCTTCGAACGGACGCGCTCCACGCAGGCCGAGTCCGTCCTCTCCGCGCTGCTCTTCGTCTTCAGCACCTACATGCGCTGCGTGGTGCGCACCAAGGAGGAGGAGACGTACTCGTGGGTACGTACGTACGTGCGCGCACGCAAGCGGAGATGGCTATCCGCCCCGTCAACCTTTACAGACGGTTGGGGCGAGTGCTGTTAGCGAGTCGCACCGATGGAGGCCCGGCACGGCGCACGAGGGGGTGGTGTGGCCAGGACCGCTCCTGTTGGGCTCCCCCCCCCCCCCCCCAAGTGGCTGGTGTATACACACCGCGCCAGTTACTCATTGGCGTGAACGTATACAATCTGTATATCAGAATCTTTCTTTCGACTGGAGGAATCCGATAAGCTTTGCAACTCTTTTTCACAAATGTCCAGTATGGGCAAACCATATAATTGAATGTTTGCATTTCGATGCTCTTATCTTGAGCTTGAGAATATATTTTAACCGATCGATGGACCGTGAGGTGTCTGCTTGCCCCGCGGTACGAGCGCGTGCATCTGCTCGTGTTGTATCCGTCCTGCAGTCCGAGTCTCAGGATCAAATCTTCATCCGCTGGGCGTCGGGAGAGACGGCCACCATGCACATCCTGGTGGTGCACGCGCTGGTCATCCTGCTCACGCTGGGCCCGCTCGACGGTACGCACACACACGCACAAGAGACAAAGATGCCCCGTGTAACCTTAACAGGTTGTTGGGGCAAGTGCTGTTAGGGCGCCATGGCGGTGAGATGTTAACTACCTCGCCTGGTATACAGGAGGTCGTGGGTTCAATCCCAACCCTGATGCCTGCTGCTGTGTATTTGGCGTTTGCGTGTCTCTCTCCCCATGTTCGCGTGGATTTTTCTCTGGGTCCTCCGGTTTTTCCCTCCACATTTAGAAATAACATGCGTTCAGAGTTGATATACATTTCCACACGATGATAAGCCACTTCCTTGCGATTCAATTGTGGCCAGGTCACTTCTGAAAAAGAGCTATATATATTCTTAGTTCTTTCGGTAAAGTCACGTTGAAGGGAAACAACAAAAATATATATATTTTTTTTTAAATAATAATATATATTATTATTATTGTTGTTTCCCTTCAACGTGACTTTACCGAAATAACTAAGAATATGAATTACTGCAGTCACGAAAGCTTTAAATCAAAAGAGCTATATAGTTCAGTGGGCCTTACCTGATAAAATAAAAATGTTTTTAGTGAACACCTACGAAGGCCAACACTGCACGTGTGAGGTGGTTGGTATAGCCGGACTGCCCTGCGTCTTCCCCAGTGGTGATGTTTATAACACTGCACCAGGTACTCGCTTCAGGCTGTTGTTGTTCTGCGTGCGGCTCGCAGGTAACGGCGACTTTGCGTACCTGCTGGACGTGTGGTTCTCGGACCGCCAGCCGCTGCCCACTGCCTTCCTGGTCGACACATCCGAGGAGGCGCTGCTGCTCCCCGATTGGCTGAAGCTGCGCATGATTCGCTCGGAGGTCTCGCGATTGGTCGACGCTGGTAAGAGATACAAAACATATATACACGTGTCTTAAATATTGAAAATACAAAATAACTAACAGCTCTTGCAGATGCATGTCTCGGTCGACTGTCCCGGGTTCACTTGTTGATTGATTTTAGTCTCTTTTTTTAATGTTCTCTGTAGTTCTGTCTGTCTATAATGCTGGCCTTAATACGTGCTCGCTAACAGCACTTGCCCCGACAGGTTATTAGATTCATAAGGGGGATTCTTCGTGTCTGTGTATGTGCAGAAGTGTTTGCGTGTGTGTGTTGTGCATTGTGTGTTTGTTCAAACTAGTGTGTGTTTGTGTTTGCGTGCCCCACAGCCCTGCAGGAGCTAGAGGTACAGCAGCTGATCCTGTTTGTGCAGTCGTTTGGCATCCCCGTGTGCAGCATGAGCAAGCTGCTGCACCACCTGGACCAGGCGGTCACCTCTGACCCCTACACGCTCGAGCACAATATCATGGACAAGAGTGAGTAGAGGAGGGTGCGGGCGCTGCTCCCTCCGATCGTGACCTCTGTGAGTGTGGACCCCATGGTTGACAGGAGGCAACAAGGGAGTCCACGGATGCCCGTAAAACTCTTGCCGATTCCAGATACGAGGAGCTATGCTTGTTATCGGTTTGTGATTCTTTAATAGATTCCTACGCTCCCGATGAATTTGATCGTCTAACGATTCATACAAATCGTGCCATGCAAATGTTCCCTTCGGGATAAAGGAACGGACGAACAAGACAAATACAGCAGATTATTGAGTTGGCTCGTAACCCTGATTCGTGACAATTTTTACATGCTTGGCAAATGTTTTAATTCTTAACGTTTTAGTTTTTACAATTGGTCAGAGCACTGAGCCCCGCCACCATCGCTCGGGATCCTGGCTTTTGAATGCGGGCAGCCAACCGCGATTAAACTTGAATCTCGAGTACTGAGCTCACTGTCTTAGCCTAGTCGCGAAGGATAACGCGTAAAAAAAAACACTTATTAGATTTGTTTTTTCACTTAATTCGGTTAACTCTTTAACAAAAAATGTGGTTTGACTCGCATGCGACAAACAGCTCACTAGCGGGGCACATAGTAAAGTGCAGCGCCTCTCGCATGAATGACATGTCATGGGAAAGGATCTCAGAAGTAGTTCTGTGCTATTGTCTTCTGTGGGCCATTCCCATCACGACATCAGTGACTGGTCTTTTTTGTTTCTGTTTGCTTCGTTGTTGGACTTGTTTTTTTTAATGCTTTTGGATTTTGTCATTTTTGGCGAGCCCCAGGGTCACTCTTGCGAATGGGGACTATCCCTCGTCTCTTTGAGCTCTCGCCCGGTTCGACGGAAAATAAATCTAAACGAGCGTATAGTGCAACGAGCGCGTGCGTGTGGCGGCGCGTGTGGTCGTGGCGCAGACTACATGGCGCAGCTGGTGGACGTGCAGCACGAGCGTGGCGCCACGGGCGGCTTCGCCTTCCACAGCATCCTGGCGGCCGCCCCCCTGCCGCAGACGGGTGAGACCGCTCGCCATCTGGGAACTCTCGCGATTGCGATCGCGCCCTCGTCGCCATCTGATGACGCAGCGGCAGACACACCCCCCCTCCCCACTCCTCCCCCCTTGAAGAAACAAGCGGCCACGTACCAATCGGGCAGGTTTCTCAAATCGCCGTCCGTCTCTGTCCACCCAGGAGTTGTAAATGGGTACAGCACAAGGACAGTCTGCCGTCTGGTCGCGTGCGGGTGCTGCCACCTCCTGGGAAGACGCAGGACTGCACCCCCCCCCAACTTTTTGGCTAGTCATTGCTGGTGGCCCTGAGCGAGAATCTAACTCTGCTTGCCGGTTTCGTAGACAACACACAGACGGTCGATGCATCGCGTGCTTGTGGATGCGCTACGTTGCAAGCTGTTTGGAACGCTCTTCCGATATTATGAAGCCACGTTTAAATCTCGATTGAAAACAAAAAAATTTCCGTCACCGATTTTTGTGTGTTAGTTTGTCCTTCCCCCGCACCTCCGATGACCGCTGTTGGCGATGTTACGGCACGAAAGAAGTTCGGCATGCGTACGTACGTAACCTCTCATTGTGGCCGCTGCACTGTAGACGCGCTGGACATGAAGAAACCTGGGACAGGGCCCTCGTCCGCACGTGCCGACGCGGTGCAGCCCTCCTCCCACCGGCCCCTCTTCATCGACCCAGACGAGGACGTGACCGCCGTGCTCCTACAGGTGCCCGCCTCTACGCCCGCCTGGCAGGGCCTGTCACGCCTCTCGGAGTGGGAGGGGGGGGGGAATTACAGCTGCAGGTGAAACGTACCGTTGCCACCAATCGGTTTTCGGTTTTGAACTAAACTAAAAACTATTTTTTATTTACCAGGTAAGGCACACCAAGATATACGGCGACCTGGCCACATGATCATTTGTGGCCAGGTAGCTCATGATAGCTCAACGAAATGACTTATGCGGAAATTTATAGCAGCCAAATACTCGAAACGCGTGATGAATCTAAATATGGAGGGAACAACCGGAGGACCAGGAGAAATATCTATGCGACCACGGTGAGAACATGCACTCCAAATATACATGCATTGTGGTCGGGATCGAACCCACGACCTACATGCCCGGGGAGGTATTTAACATCTCGGCACATGCGGATGCTATAAAGTAGGTTTGTATCGAGCCATCAACATCAATTCTTCCACTCGCAATACACGTACACAATCGTGCTTTTGGATATATATATATAATTTGCTATTTTTCTTTATGATATGCTAATTTAGGTTAATGGGATGAAAAGAATTGTACAAATCAGACCGCACACAAACAAGATGATGAAGACAAGCCAAACATTAAACCTTTTTTTAGTTTATCTTTATTTGTGACTGTAACCACGTGTTCCTCCTCCGTGTCTCCCTGCACACACCCCACGCACACACCGTGCGCACGCACCCGCACACACACGCACACCCCGCACACACAGATCTTCCCACCGCGGTGCGAGCCGGGCCTCGGCGACCCTGCTGCACGGCAACTCTCACTCGCCCTGCAGAGGTCGTTAGCCCAGGAGGCGGCCACGGCGTCGGCAGCGGCAAACTCGTCTAGAAGGACCGGCGGCGGGGCGGATCCCGTGACCGCCGGTGGTGCCGCTAGCAGTGGTGGCGGCGGCGGCGGCGTGTCCTTGCGCATCCTGCAGGCCCTGCAGAGGATTCTGGCGTCGCAGCACCGTGCGGCGTTTGTTGGAGCCGTGTTCCGCCTGCACAGCCCCGCGTGCCAGATCCTGCGCTACCTGCGCCGCTTCCAGGTGCGCTGTCCCGCCCGGGCAACCCGCGTGTGCTCTCCGTGCGTGCGTGCGGGGAGCTGTGATGCCGCGGTTACCATACGCTATGAACTCGGCGACCCGAGTTCAATTCCCCTCTCACGGCCAACAACAGTGGCAAATTATCTGGGCCTCCCAAGGTTGACTCGGCCTCGGATGAGCACCTGGTGCGGCGTTAGCGAGCGACTTTAAAATTTAAGATGCTCGCTAACAGCACTTGCCCCAAAAAGTCGGGACGGACTATATGGGGAATCTTTTCTATGTCGGTAATAATTATTATCGCAGCACCAAGAGTGACTAGAGTTATGATGGTGATGCAATATTACTAAAAATAACAATTATGATAATATAACAATATTTCTAGTTGTAAGATTAACATCAAAAATAAATTCAGTTGCATATGCAAGTGGGTAGACACACGCTCTAAGTGGTGTCGCGGAGATGGTTGAGTGGGGACTGCCTGTTGCACAAATTGGACAGGCAGGCCGGGTCTGTGTTGAGTAGACACTGGCAGGTGGGTCGTGGCCAGAAGGCGTTGTGGTGGTGATGACGGTTGGCCCGGCCCTGCAGAAGGAGAGCGGGGACGGTGTGGCGAGCGCCCTCTTCGCGGACGTACTGCTGCAGCTGCACGCGGAGACCGGCGCTCGGCAAGAGGGGCCCCTGCACTCGCTGATTGCGTCGTACCTCGCTCACATCGAGCAGGACGGCACGCCCGCACAGCGTACGGCTCCCAGCACCACACGCCACGCGTCCCCCATCATCGCCACGCATCGCAACGCCGCACCACGCGTCTCCTGTTCGCTTCTTTGTCTTACCGTCGGTGGGCGTACGTCTGCCATGCCGTCGCTCACAACCGCGTGTGTCGCGTCCCCAGCTGCGGTGGCGATGGCCCAGCTGCTGGAGGCCGCCCAGTACGGCCGAGACGCGGCGGCGGTGCTGGCGCGCCACGGCAAGGCGACGGTGCGGGCCCTCGCGGCCTCGCCCCGCGCGGCCTGGGAACCACGGCTCTTCCAGGACGGTACGGAGGGAGCAAACGGAGCGAGGGAGTTTGGCACGGGCAGAATGTGTAACAAATTCATCGCGACGCGGTCGTACTGGGCAGTGTGCACGAGGGATAATTAAGTTAAGCGCATCATTGTGACGTCATGATTTCGGATAAATCGTAAATAATTTTTGGATCCTCTGAAATTATCACTAATTCAATACATCAGAGGACAAACCCATGTTGGAAAGCGTTATAGAATACCATACATGTGCACGATTTTTCTTGTTTTATAATCAACGTATCATCGAACTCGTGTCTAACGTAACCTCGGTGTGTACCTACAAGAGACCTCGGGAGCTCGGTAATTGCCACTTGTGTCGCACTCAGACGTTTGTTCATCACGAGCGGTGACGCTTTCATCCCGGGGTAACTGCGCGCTGCGCTTTCCTCACCATGCCGAGACGCTCGCCAATAACATCTCCGTGCGTCCGTAGTGTGCTTCCGCCTCGTGAGCACGAGCTCTCCCTACCTGGAGGAGTTTGTCCGGCGCGCTGTCGGAGGGGTGGCTACGACGGGCGTCGGCGGGGCCGGCGGCGCCGGCGGGGAGGCCTGCGCCGCCGCACTAACTCGGCTGCTCCTGCTCGAGGTGCAGAGGTCACAGGTCAAGCGGGAAAGATCGGAGAGGTGGGGGCACGGACGCGCACGCACGCACAAACACAGGGCCGTTTCTGCGAGCGTCGCTCCCCTTTGGCTCGTTCTAACACACGAGCACACAAGGACACAGATCCCCGTATAGCCTTAACAGACTGTTGGAGCAAGTGCTGTGAGAGAGAACCTGTCACACGAGGGGGTGGGTGGCCAGCATCATGCCCGACACACACACACAAGCTTGTGCATACTAGGATCGTTATTCAAGTTGGCGGGTCCTACTCTGTGCTGAACCCAACCTTCGAAAACCTTCTACATTACGCCCGATTAGACATTTCTGTATTTGCGCCAAACCAAAAATGTACTCGCGTTCGTGCTTTAAAAAAAACCGATATCAACGACGCTAGGTCGTCACACGTGCTGGCTGGTTCGTAATGGGAGCTGTGCCGGCGCCCCGCTCTGCCAGGCCCAGTGTGGAGCTGTCTCCCGCAGGGCTCTTCATCGACTGGCTGGAGCTGCTCAACCCGGAGGTGATGTCAACGGCGTCGGCGACCGCGGCGTCCGCTACCACCCTGGAGCCCCAGCTGCAGCTCCTTTTCACGAGCTCCAAGGTGCGTGGGATGGCGTAGAGGGTTCGTGACGCTGACGCTGCCGCCGGTAACTCTCTCTAGATTCCTGTGTGTGGATCCGGGCGGTACCTACAGTGGAATCGGTTTTAAAGTTAATTTGGGGTTTCTCCAACTGGGCGACCTCTATAAATAATGACGCGGTTTAAATTTGTGTGTGCTAACGGACACGACTCCCAATCATGCCTTGCGTGCATGGCGTGTGACCACCACATTATATGCACAATGCTTCTCGGTCTTGTATAAACCACATACGTGTATCCATGTCATTGCTTAGACCAGGGGTGGGAAATGTCCGGCCCGCGGGCCGTGTAAGGCCCACAAAGTCATTTGGTCTCTGGCCCTGCCAAGGCAACCGCAGGCGGGACTCGAAATTCAATAAATCTAGGAGCAAACCTGGAAAAGCAGTTGCTAGTAGCAACATCGTCAATACCAGCTAACAACATCACACGCCTCACCAAAGAGAAGCAGTTCCAGCCATCACATTAGGGGTGAGATAATATAATGTTTGACCAAATATAACAGGCTAATTTTTAAGTTGATAATTTTGTATGGCCCGCGAATGATGTTATAAATAAAAGGTTCCCCACCCCTGGCTTAGACCATCAATTCACAAGGGTTAAGTGTGGCCGTCCTTTATATTTGTTTCCAGGCTGCGCACATTTTCCCGCTCTCATAAGTTTTCTAATTTACATGAAATGGTAGATTTCAGCAGATTAGCATGAAGCATTTACCTTGCTATTCAGCTGTGCAGTTAGGAAATCCTCGAAGGGATGGTGTCAGACGATGCCTACACCTGTCAATGAACGTACCGTCAGCCGTGCTGCGGCAGGGTTGATGACGCTGCTGATGACGTCGTGCTCGTCGCTGTGTGCAGAGCGAGAGGGCGGACGGCGTGGGGATGTCCTCCTTCCGACTGCACCTGCTGTCGCTGCTCACGCACCAGTCCAACTGGTGCACCCTGCACCGCACCGTCGCCGCCCTACTAGCGCCCGCCTCCACCATCAGGTACCGCTCTTTCTGTATCGGGGGTGGGGGCGCAGTGGAGAGCCCACTGCACGACAAACCCCCGCGATCTGAGTTCGATTCCAAGGCGCTCAGCGTTATCGTCAGTAGCGAGTGATATCTGAATCGGTCCTGGACCCCACCCATTCTTCGCTAACAAATACTGAACGAGCGTGGTGAAGTATGGTTGAACACCCCGTAAAAGCCGACATGGTGTGCGCAGGCATTGGTCCGGCTGTGGCTTGATGGAGGGCTACTTTTTTACGATATTCATTGTATACGGATTCTCGTTTGGTCAATTTTGTATACTCCATTAGCCTAACTGTAACATTAGCATATCTTGTCCTTAAATTAAAACACATTGCTTCTTACACATGCCACTATGCATGGATAGTAAGCCTTATGGATCGACATTTAGTGATGCTTCGTTACATCCCAACACTGATAATGATGATGACTACAATGATGGCAATTATGCCGAAGATGATGATAATAATGACCGCGATGACAACAATGATTATAATCATTACGACGATGATGCTGATAACGATGGTGACGATTATGACAATAATGATGATGACAATCATGCCGCCTGGCAGTTACAGTGCTGGTGCGGTGTTGGACTTCCTCTGGGCCTGCACACGCATCCCACGCCTCTGGCAGGGCCGGGACATCAAGACACCGCGGGTAGGCCCGGTCGCATCACCTGAGCCAGAGGGGACATCGGTGCCCAGGTTAAACGTCCACGTTTACCCAGAGATGCGCAACCCAACAAAATTAACGATTCTTCTCCCGTAGGTGTGTACCTACTCGGGAAGTGTTCCTCATTTTCTGATTAATCTGGAAAAATAATCGGAAAATCAGACCTAAATACGAAATCTTGGGTGATCAAATAAATGTTTCCAGATTGATCAGGAAATGGGACATCACTGCCATAGCATCACTTCCCTGAAGAGGGGTGGTTAGGAGATGGCAGGACACCCAAGTGGGTTCTTGAATCAATCTCTGTGGAGCTTAGAGTTTTCCACTCGTATGGATATATTTTTCCAATTTCCCCCCACACTAAAGACATGAAGTGAATGGACCAGACCTACCATGGCAGGACCCTTCTGGAAAAAAACCCTCGCGTGGGTAAATAAAGGACAATCTAATAATTTAACAATGTTTAACCGAGTCATGTGACCGCTAATGCCCCCCCCCCCCCCCCCTTCATCTTTCCCCATTGCAGAAGCGCTCCGCGGAGCGCGTGCTGCGGCTAACGTCGTCGCAGCTGCTGCGCCTCGTCGACCTCATCGTGGACGAGGCGGCGGAGAGGGACCGCGAGGACGGCGCGGGGGCGGCGCCACCGACGGCGGTCGCGGCGGGGGCGGCCGAGGGCCCCGAGAGACGGGGCGACGGGACCGGAGGGGAGTCGCCGGGCGAGGCGGGGCTGAGCTCCATCCAGGCGCGGCTCCCGCTGCTGCTCGGCTGTTGCCAGGGCAACTCGCGCCTCCTTGCGGACGTGGCGCAGCACCTCATTGCTCGGGGCAACCAGAGGAGCGACGGGTACACCACCCGCCACCCCTCCCGCCCTCCACTACCCACCACCACTCCTTCTCTGTTGGTTTTAGTGGCTGTGCCGTGCATTGCCACAAAGGCTTCTGGCCTGTGAAATACAGGTGGATTTTATTGTAACGCATAATATGGAGGTAATACAGGACTTTGTGCTTGTTGGTTGTATAGTGTATAGCAAAAGAGGGTTGTGAGGAAGGAGGCCAATGAATGTTGCTGGATTGAAAAAACCCATTCAGGAAGAGCAGAGAGGGATCATCTTCAGTATCAAGAGATGGGTGTTTGAGACGAGTAACGTGTGTTTCTGTCCAGGTGGGAAAGTTAGATTGTAAGAAAGAAAACATGCATTTGGCATTTGCGTATGGCGGTTACAAGGAATTGCGCGGCAGATAGGGTTAAGCAACTTAGAAGTTCTGAATAGCATATGACAGCAATTGCTCCGGATTGAGAGAGTATTGTCGACGCATTCAAAAAGAAGAAGCTTGCGATGGGTGGGACGTGTGTGTAGGGTAGAGGAGGGCAGGTGACCCCAGCAGACATTGGGGTGGCACCCAGAGGTCCACGGCCAAATTGCAAAGTGGCGACGAGTTTGCGAAAGCAGACCTTGGAGGGCGGTTGTCAACTTTGCAGAGCAGAGTGTGGAATCCAGCAAAAGGAAGGGAAGCGGTGGCCGCGCGAATTCTGACGGCATTGCGTTGGGATGACCCCGTGGACCTGAATGACGCTTGTGCCCAAGCTCATCCATCGTTCTCGCCGTGTGCACCCCCACCCCCGCGCGTGGCACACAGCCGGGCCCCCGGCTCGCTGTGCTCCTCGCTGCTGCTGCAGATCTACCTGCAGGCGCCGGAGGTGGTGCGCTGCGCCACGCTGCCCGACGCCCTCCTGCAGCACGCCGCCGGCACCGTGCGAGGCCGGGCCTGCAAGGTGCGGCACGGAGGGGGGGTGCACGCACGCGGCTGTCCAGTGGGGCGGGGGGGGAGGAAGTGGGGACGGGGTGGGGGGGGTGCATAAGCTTCAGACGTAGATAACTTTCGCGACTGATGTTATCCACGATAAAGGTTTTTGTTGGGTTATATTGCTTAAATATAAATGTGTCGTTAAACCCACCACCACCTGACACAGACAATTAGTCAGGTTTGTCACGTAAACAAAACATGCCTATTAGTTACGAGTTCAGCACACCGGTGTGTTGGAGAGTAAACCCACAACATTTATACTTCGAGTACAATCTATCGCTGGTGATTACAACCAGCATCATCAGGTGATGAAGCTGGCTATTGCCTGATGGTGGGGGCTGAACTAGTAACTAATTGGCATGTTTTGTTTACGTGACCAACCTGACTAATTGGCTGTGACAGGTGGTGGTGGGTTTAACGACACATTTATATTTTTAACGATCTAACCCCAAAAAACCTTTGTTATGGATAATATTGGTTATAAAACCCTACGAGTCCACATTTTCTGTACTGCCTCGTGCTGGGCCAGGTTATGGCACCTAAACCCCCCCCCGCCCCCCCATGGTAAGTGAGTTTTGCAAGATTTGTGCGATCCGCCAATCCCCCTACTCTTCACAGTGCTGAATTGCAGACGTGCACCATCACCGCCCGACATCTCTAGTAATTTCTGTCTATCTCGGCCAGAGCACGACAACTACTGGAGCTCGCTGCGTGTGCCGGGTGCGTGTGTGCCTGGTGCGTGCGTGCCTGGTGTGTGCGTGCACCTAGCTGGACGCGGGCCTGCACCGCCTGTGCACGTTCCTGGTGGACGTGTCGGACAGCCGCGCGAGCGAGAACCGGGCCAACGATGCCAACCTCATCCTGCGCAAGATGGCCGTCTCACACCCCTTGCTGCTGCTCAGGTGGGCCTGGCCTCCATCGCCCTGCTTCCCCCCACGTCGTCACGTGCCTAGCAACGTAGCATCGCGTTCTCCAAACCCAGCGCTTACGCCAAGGTGACATCTCCGTCTCTCCTGACCCCGCGCATCCCCCGCCCGCCCCCCTTCTCCCCTACATTGCCCGCGCAGGCACTTGCCCATGATCGCGGCGTTGCTGCAGGGCCGCGCTCAGCTGAGCGTGGGCCTCGAGGTGTGGCGAGTGGCTGGCCAGCTGGGGCCCTTCTCCGCCACGCTGGGCCTGCTGCAGCTGCTGCGGCCGCTGGTGTTCGGCCGCGAGCACACCCGCGCGCTGGCCGACGTCCTCGGCACCTTCGTCACGCTCCTGCAGGTCGGTCCGATGGGGGGGGGGGGGAGGGGGTGGCTGGGCGCGTGGGGTCAGACGGCCGCGCGGTCAGTCAGGATGCACACGGGGTCCATCGGGTGAGGCCTACGACAATCAAATAATCCGAAACGCGTTGGGCCCCGTCGGATCTGGGAAGCCAAGTAACGCCAATCGTTAAATACTTGGATGGGTGACCGCCAAGGCTTGCCAGGTGTCGTAGGCGTTGATGGGCTGCGAGTTGTTGCCTGGAGGTGGCATTGCTCGGTGTCGTCACATCTCTCTGGGTTTTTAGTTTCCTTCCACGTAAAGCGTTACAGTTCGTCAAGTGTTGGTGAGGCTTTGCCATCTCGCGGTCCATCAGACTTTTGGTTTTTATGGGGCTGTCACACGTTTTGTCAATGTACGGTGGCAAGTGCTCATACCAAGCTGCGGGTAAATTACGGTAACGCCAGCATGCTGATGACCAACGCGGTGCGTGTGCGGTGCGTGTGCGGTGCGTGTGCGGTGTGTGTGCGGTGCGTGTGCGGTGTGTGCGCTGTGTGTGCGCGGTGCGTGCGGCGAGCAGAACCTGGGCCGTTGCGTGCGGCAGCTGACGTCGCTGGTGAACCGGCTGGTGCAGTTCATCCACGGCTACGTGGCGCATGACCCCTGCAGCGCTCTCGCCTTCCTGCGCACCCACGCCGCCGCCCTGCAGTGAGCAATTCCCCGTGACTCTGCGATCCCCCATGATTCCCTGCGAGTCCCAGCGATTCCCCTTGCTCCCCACACCCCCGGCAAACACCGCCAGCCCTCTGTTGTGGCCGCCACACATGGCGTTCGTACGAATGCCACCAGCGGACTTTCGTGAAATTCGTAGGACTGGCTGCGGTCTTGAGTGTGGGTGGGGTTGCCTGTGGGCGTGCGCTCGCGTGTTTGCGGGTGTTTGTGCCTGACCATGTTTGCGCGTTTGCTTGCATGCTAACGTTTCTTGTATGCGTGTGCACGCGTGCGCGTTTGTGTACGGGGAGCTGCGCCACAGTGATTCGGCCACCCGAATTCGATTCCCTGGCACGTCTCGCATTCGTGACGAGTCTTATCGAGTACCGGTCTTGGGCCTCTCCTAGGTCGACTCAACCTTGAATGAGTACCCGGTGCGGTGTGTACGCAATCGGCACTCGGGGAGACGCAAGCGGCCGTGCGCGGTGCTGATCACGACACCGCTTCGTGCGTCGGCCTCCGCAGCTGCTCGGCAACAGCCCTTGTCCCCCCGCGGCGGTCAGTCTCTCTGCGGCTTTGTCACAGAAGCAACCTTTGCCTTGGGCGTGCAGGCAAGTGGCAAGCGACTACAGGGACCTGACCCAACTGAAGTCGCTGCTGGCCGGGCTCTCCCTGCCCCCGCACTCGTCATCGGGCACCGACCGCCACTCGCTGCTCTCTCGACAGGGTTTGGATACGCAACCTCGCACGTAGATGGCTGCAGCGATGGCCGCCCCGCGCGTTGCCGCGCGCGCTCTCTCTCCCTGTAATTTGCTCGAGGGGATGGTCCTTGCCAGCAGTCTTCGATGCATCTTTCAGCGAGCTTCCTCGCGGCTTTTCAAACGTTGCGCGAGCACGTGTGCGCTCGCACACCCTGCAGTCACACACGCGCATTGACACACGTACACATGCTTTTATGCACGCGCTCAAATGAACTGGCAACATACGGTTGGGCGTCTAGATGCTATACCTTGGTTCGCCAGGAGAAGGCAGTACGGCAAAAAATTTGTCGTCCATGGGATGGAGAGTTTCCCCCTCGCATGGTTGCATTTTCTCACGATGCTCGGTCTCCTCCCACATATAAACACGAACGAATTGGTCGATAAACACCTTCATATCTAGGGGACCGCAAAGCTTGCGGAATTGTTGGAGCCGGCTCCCTGCGTGGCTGCATTCCTGCTTGTCTGCGGTTCCTCGTGGCCTCCCTGAGATTTGAGTGAATTCTGTGCACGTAATAAGTTGAAGTAATGATTATTATGAGTGCACGCATATATATATGTGCGCACACTCACACGTATGCATCCATCCATCGCTGTGTGCCGGCTCCTAGTTCGGAGGTCGACTCTCATTGTACGGCAGCTCCCCTTGCTGAGTGGGGTCCACTCGTTATTGTCATCTTCCCACCAAGTCCGTCTCTGTCACCCCCTCTTGTCCTTTCGCCTTCGATTATAATCTCAAGAAGAACTTGTCTTTTGGCCGTGTGACTCTGTAACTGTATGGGTGCTGCCCCCTTCATTGCCAATGCCAGCGTCTGTGTGTGTGTCTGTATTCGTGTTGGCGTGGGTCGCGAGCAGAAGAGGCGAGCAGTGCCCTGCCGCTGGTGGGCATGAGCGCCACCCACGCGGTGATGCCGTCGGAGATGGCGCCGTACCAGCGCCGGCTCACCGATTGCCGGGACACAGAGGGTGAGCCCAGGAGGCAGCGGTGTCGATTTAAATCCACATCCAGTCCACCGCTTTGCATCAGCCGCTCTATGCCCATATTTGAGTCTTTGTGTTTGTGCGTAATGTCGGGAGCGGTAGTGCAGCGGTTTTGCGCAGCGCTGCGCTACGAACACGACAACTCGAGTTCGATTCCCGCTCACGGCCGACACCACTGTGACGATTAAGTAAACCGGTCCTGGGCCTCCCCTAGGTCGACTCTGCCTCAAATGAGTACCCTGGTGCGGTGTCTGGGAAGGCAAAGGCGGTCGGGCATGGGTGCTGGCCACCCACTCGTGTGTCGTGCCGGCCTTCATAGGTGCTCGCTACCAGTACTTGCCCAAAACAGTCTGTTAAGGCTACATGGGGAATCTTTGTCTTTGTAGGCAATGTGCTTACTCAACCTATTGACTGGATGCTTGCAAAATTCTGAACTGGATTTTGTCCCCGATTGCCCTGGGGTCCTGGTCACTCTTTTGGAAGACGGACTGCATCCTTTCCTGCGACCAAATCACCCTGGATGCTCGCCTGATTTTGTCTAGATCTCAAGCTCAGCTGGTTATTCCTTGGATGGGGAAACTGCCTTAGAATAACCAGGTGTTGTAGGCATTGGACTGATTTGGCGAGGAGGTGGCGGTACAGAATTAATTCTACATCTGTGCGGAACCTTGTGAGTGTCCCAACCTCATTGCTCCAAGCTTTCTCTAAATGAAGCCAAACACTCACGGAATTTTCCCAAACGTCCCTCGTGCAGACCCCTTCCGGGAGAGGCTTGAGGACCCCAGCAATGCTCTCCTGGATACGTGAATAACATGACAAAAGTACCGTTGTCCTTGTGATTCATGCTTCATTATTGTCCTGCAGATATTTTGGAAGCACTTGGCGACATTGACGAAATGTCCAGAAGGAAAGAGGAGATCCTCAAATTTTTCCAGGTAGGGACTGGTGGACAGTTTCACAACTCCCTCCACTCCTCAACTGCGTTCATTTCTTCAGGTTGCCGTGATCTGTGGTTACTGCTGTCCACCCCTCGGTGTGAAACTCCGTACCTTTGCACATCCTCAACATCAAATGCACTCTGACTTTTAAAGAAACATCAAAAGGCCTCTTATCTGTTTCGGCGGTCAGGCTTGTCGAGCAGCCCTGAGCCTGGCTGCGTGCCTCTGAGTTGTTGACTTATGTCATGATTATTATCACTGCGATCGATATATTGTATAATGCAAGGTTCACGATAGTCGTATCTTCCGTTTTGCAAAATGTCATAATATTCTGACAACGCATTTCATCGACAGAAGTTCAGCAAGTTCTCAAGGAATTAGTTTTACCCATTAAATGAGCGCTTTGCAAAATGTTTCCTGGAGTCATGATGACATGCTGATGATATACAAGTTTCAAGTACATTTTGTTTATCCAGGTGAGGGAGAACCGGTAACCTGGGTCACCAAAATGACAAAAGTTAAAACATTTACAGCAAAAAAGCAAATAGCTTTCAAGACAAAAACAACATCACTCGTCACACTCGCTTTTGTGCCCGGACTCTGGACTTTGACGAGCGCTCGCCAACGGCGCTGGTTTTGTGCGTGCAGGCCGAGCTGCAGATGCTCATGGGCCACGCCGATGAGGCGTGCCGTGACCTGGCCTTCACGCTCGCCATGAGGAGCGGTCGCCACAGCCCCCGGTGAGGAAGCGTCGAACACCAATGCTAACCGTAACGCCAACGCTAACCGTAACGCCAACGCTAACCGTAACACCAACTCTAACCGTAACGCCAACGCTAACCGTAACACGAACTCTAACCGTAACACCAAAACTAAACGTAACGCCAACGCTAACCGTAACGCTAACCGTAACGCCAACGCTAACCGTAACGCCAACTCTAACCGTAACGCCAACGCTAACCGTAATGCTAACCGTAACGCCAACTCTAACCGTAACGCTAACCGTAACGCCAACTCTAACCGTAACGCCAACGCTAACCGTAACGCCAACTCTAACCGTAACACCAACACTAACCGTAACGCCAACTCTAACCGTAACACCAACACTAACCGTAACACCAACGCTAACCATAACACCAACGCTTACCGTAACACCAACTCTAACCGTAACGCCAACGCTAACCGTAACGCCAACGCTAACCGTAACGCTAACCGTAACGCCAACTCTAACCATAACGCTAACCGTAACGCCAACTCTAACCGTAACGCCAACTCTAACCGTAACGCTAACCGTAATGCCAACTCTAACCGTAACGCCAACTCTAACCGTAACGCCAACGCTAACCGTAACGCCAACTCTAACCGTAACACCAACACTAACCGTAACGCCAACTCTAACCATAACACCAACACTAACCGTAACACCAACGCTAACCGTAACACCAACACTAACCGTAACGCCAACGCTAACCGTAACGCCAACTCTAACCATAATGCTAATGCGTCTTCCTTTGTACGGCTGATGTAGATGCATAGCGACAATTACAATTTCACATTCAGGTGGTTAAGCCAGATAACTGTGTCAGGAGTAGCCGAGTCGTGTATCGCTCACCCTAATTTGAACCCTAAGCATAACCTGAGCCATAGCCCTAACCTTAACCCAAGCCTTACCTGAACCAAGACTGTAGCTTTAAATCAGAACCCTAACCCACACACTGACCTGATCCTTAACCCGAACCCAAAGTTCAACCTGAACCCATGCCCTCATTCTATCCTGAGCCCGAGACATTAGCCTGACCCCTAGCTGGTTTAGCGGAGGCTGGTGCGAGTGAAAAGCCACGTCGTGACGTTGACCCGCGTGTCCCGTGCTCCACCCGATACCACCGCAGCTGTGCTCCAAGCTTCCTGCCCGCGTACCTCTACTGCCTCGACAGCGACAACTTCGACGTGGTGCAGACGGCACTCAGGAACCTGCCCGAGTTTGCCGTGCTCTGTCAGGGTGAGTCGGCGCCCGCCGTTTCCCGCTCCACTCGCGCCCCAACCTACACAAACCCATGCTCCGTCCACCACGCAGGTTCAGCGTTCCGGTGTGCGTGTGCTTGTTGTCCGCTTGCGCGCGTAGAACACGTGTCGGTGGTGCTGCACCGCGCGTTCCTGGCCGGCGTGTCCCACCAGCTGGACACGAGTCCCGTGGTTGCCGATGCCCTGCAGATGCTGCGCATGGAGATCCTTGGCTGACGTGTGGGGGGACACGGTACGAAGGGGGGGGGGGGGAGGGCCCTCTCGCGTGTACAGCTGCCGGGATGTCTGGTCTTTCGAGTAACCGATTGCTCTGTGGATTATCGCTTCAATTACTGGACTGATTGGTTAACACGAAAATAGTTTGGGGGGGGGGGGGGGTGTAAGTTTGCTTTTGTAATTCTGGCCAGTCAAGTCGAAACAATGGCACTGAAACTTGTGGCTAAACGTCTTGCGATGACAGCCAGCATGTCTCTCTTCGGCACGCTCTCTTCCAACTTTCTTGGCTCAAGTGTGTGCCCTGCTGCACTCTCTCATCCTACCGTTATAATTTGTATATAGCTAGGCTACTTTGTAAGAAAAATTACTCAACCACATCTCATTTTTATCGGCTTGCTTTTGTAAACACGGTCCTGCGTGATAGGAATTTGTGGAATGTTCATAAATTCGGTGTAAAAAATAAATGTGAAGTTTTGCTTAAAATGTGGCCAACAATATTTTAATGATAGGGTCATATATATATAAAACATTAATGCCAGGTGTGTTTAGAATGAGAAAAATATTATTTCATTTGTTTTTATTGCCCAAGAGGGCATAGGTTTAAAATAGATTTTCGTCGACATATCAACTTTGTTAATTTAGTTTAATAATGTAACCTGGGTGGACACGAAGCCACGCATCTCACAATGGTGTTATTGTCAACGCAAAGAAATTCAGTGTGCAGCACACCGGCGGGACAAACAATTACAAAGGATTCACCGTTTTCTCAAGAGTTTTTATTGAAACAATGACGAAGAATATTTGGCACCGAAGTGTTATTGACAGTCCGCCAGTGGCTCTTCTCCATCAATTTCACTTTTGCAAATTACGAAACCAATTTTTTTACATGAGCAATCCAACCATCCCAACTATATATCCCTCCTCTGCGAAAACAAACGATTGGGAAATATTGGAACTTTTTTAAAAAACATGTTTTGAGTACCTACATTGTTTAGTTTTGCAAAGCCTGCAAACTCACAATTGGAAGGTGGATTCAAATTGTAAAATGCACGACACTTGGTGGGACGCCAACAGTGGGTTTTGTGTGGGCTTGCCACCAAGGTGGAATTTCGACCACTTAATCAGGGTCACCAATATAAATGTTTTTTCAACATACACTTGGGACTAAAGAGCCGCACAGTCATTGGCAATGCGCGCAGCAGCGTGTCAACGACAAATGGAGGCATGTAGCCATCACAATGTACACACCCCAGTGTTCAAGGCCAGTGCTTTGCAGAAAGTTCAACTACTGATGTTAAACAAAACGAAAAATATCCACTTTCTACTGACATCCAAGCCGAATCAGCCTGGGGCTGTCAGGGGTTGTTTTTCAATGGCTGTTTGCCGTGCCAGGCCAGAACAGAAGTCTTGATACTTGTTTCACAAGACATCTGAAGCTAGCTCAGGGCCAGGGGGTGGGGATAAGGTGTTCATTGCTCGCGACATCAGTACACAGCGTCATTCACGGCATGCCACCGACGCATTCGCTGCTTGCGACCTCGGTGGCAAAGTACGGCTTCTGCAATGGAAAAACGACCTGGCTCTTATACAGCAGGAAAGAGGTAAAATAATCCTATGTGGGTCACCTCTTTGGCGAAGGGTGTGAAATTGGGTACTGCACCGGGGTTAACATGCACCCAGCGTAGTTGGGTGACCGGTTTGAGCGCTCAGAAGACACAAAGAGCGTAACCGCTCCACTACACTTGTGCGGCCGTGCCACGGAAGAAAGGAGAAACAATTCCACTTACGGACACACCGAGTGTCCTGAACCAACTGCAGTGTTGGAAGGCTGTACGATTTTAACAAAAGGAAAAAAAAATATCCCCCATTAAATAATGAATATAACATTAGGTAAAATTACAGAATACTCCAACACGCTTCCCTATAATAAATTCCTACTAAGTTGTACGGTTTTTGTAAAGATGCTTCAACACAATGATTAATATAGATTTTTGAGCTCACTCATTCATGCAATTGGTTTTTGTGGAACCCTCAAGCTGAGAGTGACAGCTAGTCACCGCAGTTTAAACAAAAAAGGAATTGATTCTCGATTTGAATGGCAATAAACTGAATGGGGGAAAGATTCGTTAACCCCCTCTGCTTTGGCTGCCCAAACCATCTGGACGATGAAACCAAGCGAACGTGTGAGCATGTTGGCGCTCGCACAACGTTAAAGCAACAACACGGGGCACCCTAACCCAGTGGGGGTTCACACAACCAGGGCACGTAACTCCCCCATTGCTTCACCGGAGCGCAAGGAGATTGGGAAGAAATTCCTTTATTTAAACCATTCAGACTTTTCTTTTACAGGCGGTGCCACTGCAGAAGAAACTATTGTGAATACTTTTTTCACAAAAATAATATTTCTTTTCAAAGTCTGTTCATAGCCCTTTTGATTGCTGGTGCTTGTTCCAAACAAAATACGACATCAAGAGTTCAGTATTTACAAACCCAAGCCACAGGAGTTGTTTTTTTATCCTGGTGCTCATTTTAGTGTATGATATGCATTAAAAAATCTCCCTTAAATCTTCACAAAGCCATCATAATACTAAAAAACAATTTTACAAAACGCTATTGCTGGCAGATTTACAAAAAAAGAGAAGATCTTTACAAAATCCTCCCGAACGAATTCTGGGCGATTCCGCAGGCTCGTGTGGTTGCATTCCAGCCCCTGGGATGGACCAACCCATGCCAAGGCTCCAGCCCAAAACAACCATAGATCAGAAGCCCAGCTGCTGGGGGGGCTGGGTCCAGTTTTACAATTATAATTAGTCCATTGTTGATGTTGAGAAGGTGAGAGTCTCCAGACCTTGGTTGAGGCTATGAGTGCAGAGCGACTCTCGTCATCCGTGCAATGTCCGATATTTATCCAGGAAGGCCTCTCGGCAAGTCTAAAGACTTGCTTTCAATCGAGTCCTGGTTGAGGTGTTTCACCTGTTCCTTTTGGAACGTGCTTAGGGGGGAGAACTCTGTCTTCCGGTCGCAGGATAATGCGCGTCCTCCACCACACCCGGCCGAGATCCGAAGGCCCCTAGCGATCGGTGGATTCTCTCAACCCAACGTCGGTAAACATCAGAGGTGTGAACATTTGAAAAAACACGGGTTCCCCCCCTGGCCAGATGGAGCAGGGGGACCCCTCCCTCCCCCCTTCTCCAGCCAGACCCTTCTCACTCACTCCATCGCCCCGGCCGCTAAGAGATCTTGCAGCTGTTGTGGGAGCAGTTCGTCTGCGGCGAGAGTGGCGGCCGCGGCCCCTTGATGGACGCAGACTTCTTGAGGCTGCTCCGCTTGGCCGCGGCACCGCCGCCTGCTCCGCCGGCCCCCGCAGCCGCGTGCACCGAGTAGGAGCGGCCGTGCATGGTGAAGGCGTTCATGCCGTTGGCCATGGAGAACGACTTGAGGTGGCTCTTGATGGTGACGGGCAGCGGCAGCTTGTCTATGAGGTGCACGGGTGTGCAGGACACGATGGAGCGGCAGCACAGGTCCTGCAGACTCAGCACTGCGGTCGCCATCAGGGACGCAGAGAGAAAAACAAAGGCGGACACGCACAGACAAAGACACCAGTATAGCTGTTAAGACTGTTGGGGGCAAGTGCTGTTATAGCCAGCACCGATTAAGGACTGCACAGGAGGGGGGTGGGTGGCCAGCACCACACCCCCTATAATACTGATATTTACACACGGTACACATTTAAGGCTGGGTACACATTTAAGGCTGAGTAGACCTGTCCAATATTAGTCACCCACATTGGTAGCGAGCAGGAATCAATCTCCGAGTGCAATTATTGCACTGTATGCTAACCAAACCTCCCTCGACACAATTACACCGCCAATTAGCACAATTGGCTACGTCCATTGAGAAGTTCAATTCACATATGGGCATTTATGTACACAAATCCACACGAACAAATAACATGCAAAATGCCACATGCAATTACATAACAAGCACATTTACAGATATACATTCCCAATTAACTAGGGTTGCCCTAATAAATTACATAATTACAATTATTGCGATAATTTTTCCATAGCTTTGTACAAAGGGTTTGTATTGTATTCCTGTACTGCCACGACGAATAAAGATTTACTTTAAAGTACAATTCATTCAACTTAAGATTGCCGTGAGTCTTCCTATCATTGCAACTTTACAACCTGTAATTCATGTGAAACCCCACATGCTGTCAGTTACTTATGAAATTATTAAACAAAACTCTCAAATTAAAGACAACCAAAAACCCACTATGCCGTCAATTTGTCCAAGAAAACATTTTGCAAGGCATTAATTCGACGAACAGCTATGTATTTACCAGTTTGTCATTTCACAAATGGTTCCATTCGGAAGTAAAATGTCTAATGTTAAGAGTTGACCAAGCAACGACGATCCCTACACGCATGCACCCTTCGCGGAGGAACAACTCGGAGCGCACACATTTTGGGTGGCTCGAAGGCCGACCGCCTTACCTCGGTTGGGCCTCCACAGGCGCTCCATCCCGTGCCGCATGAGGACGATGCGCGAGAGCTCGGTGAGCGACTCGGTGATGTTGAAGTTGCAGAGCGGCGACACCTCGAAGAAGGTCATGGCGTGCCTCTCGGCGTAGGCCTGGGCCTGCTCCGTGCTCACCCGTCGCTTGAACGCCAGGTGCAGGCGGTTGCCCACCAGGATGCGCGGGACGCCGGGGGCGTGCTGCGTCGCGCGCGTGACAGCGACGGGTTAAAATACCGCCCGGTGAATACGAACACAATCCGATGCCTTTCCCACCCACCACCACCACCACCAAGTTACATCCCAATTGTACCATTCGGTAATGCCACTTGCCCTGATTGAGAGGCGCTAACCCAATCGCAATCAAAAGCAAAAAAGTGTCAGGGGCTCATTAGAAACGCGTCTAATAAAGTGACCTGATGTAGCACGACGTCTTATCAATTTGTGCAGTCACACACCAGCGTTCACAACAACGTGTCCGCAGCTTTCTGGCAACGCCCAGATGAACAGCTCAATCTACAGCACCATAGATCGGGGGGCACACACTGCGCACGCACGCGCACACTGCGCACGCTCGCGCAGTGGTGTGGCCTTAAAATCAACTCGAGGTCTTGTAGCACATACGCGGACGAGCACACCGAGCCTCGTGGTAGTGGTGGCGGCCGCTCGAACCGCGCTCCTCACCTCGTCAATCTCCTTGATCCAGCGGTCAATACCATCGAACGACCAGCGGTTGGTGATGTCGTAGACGAGAACGATGCCCTGTGACACGCACGCACAGATTCGTTCGTTAAAGGAAGGGGGGGGCAGGGGGGGGGGCAACACATGTATCGGCTCGTGCAGTTAGATCGGCACACCTCGTTAAGGGTGTCCATTATCATCTTGACGAACGCTCTGTCAACTTTATTATCCTGAAACCCGGTGACCAGAGTTCGATTGCCAGCCACGGCGAAGTAACACTGGTGGCGAGTGACAGCAGAAACGGCCCAGCCCTCCCGCAAACCTCCGCTGATGAAGTTAGGGTCAAAGACTCTCCTTGACCGACATGGCATTGGGAGGTGTTCATTCAGCAGTGGAATGATGAAGGGCGATCACGTTTACAATTTTGACTGGTGGATTGAGCAGGGTTGGAAGCAATTATATTTTTGTTTATGTTATTAATGTTTTGTTTTGTATCATTTATGCCGATGAAACATAAACCACTTCACAGTCGGACTCAATGATGTTTCCCACCGGCTCGCTTCCAGGAATGCAATCTTGGCAAATATTTACTCCAAAGCAGCGAGGGCCCTCAAAACAGCATTGTCTATAAATAAGCACCGCTGTGCCGCGCGGGGTGAATTGCAGCACAAATTAACCTCCCCCGCGGTGAGTTCGCTCGGTCACATTTCAAGGGACCTTTTATATCTCCCCGCACCACAACATTAAAACCGGTCATCAATGCACACAAAGCCATGCATCTGCTGCTTATGATATGGAGCTGTGATCACATCGCCCATAATGTGCCCCACCCCGCCCCCGTTGTAACAGTTGGGACTGCGTGGTGGTTGGTGGAGGGGGAGCCAATCCACTGTGGTGGGGATGCGGGGCAGCAGTCTTGAGAGTGCAGAGCTGGGGTGGTCACGGTGATGACAAAGTGGAGCAACTCTCTGCTGCTGGAGGGGCGGGGGGGGTGTAGTCACGTGGCTGTGGATGAACGGAACCCAGTTCTATTGGGCTGGCGGAGCAGTGGGGCGCCCCCTTTGGTGGGGCCGTTCGGTCGTCGAGTGGAACAGTGGTGTGGCGGTGGTGTGGTTAGGTAGCGGGCAACATGGTGGTGGTGCAGTGCAGTGCTCACCTGAGCGCCTCGCGAGTACGAGCGGAAGATTGTGCAGAACCGGCCCTGCCCGGATGTGTCCCTGCCGAAAAATCGGAGCAAAGCACGCGGTTGCGGCACGGCTCGGCACTCACGAGTGACTCGCTCCGACACCACGGACAACACACACACGTCAAACAACACACACGTCAAACAACACACACGTCAAACAACACACACGTCAAACACTCCACCGACAATTCCTTCGCGTGTAACAATCAAAGCTCGTGCCAAGTTATCCGGCAGGTTCAGTCAAGGTGTGGGCAGACTGCTTTTCCAGCAGTGGATAACTATGTTGAACTTCTTCCTCACCGTATGTAGCCAACCATGCTAATCGGACGTGCGGGAGAGTGTATGATGATGACGTTGACGAACAATCACCACTCGCATGGCCGGTTTGAGTGATATGGTAAACATTGCAAACGCGAATGTTGTTCAGGTTTGTTGAGGGGGGGGGGTGGTGGTTTTGACAGCACCGCGGTTAAAGAGGAGAGAGATCTCACCACAACTGCAGCTTCACTTTGCGTCCATCCAGGAGTATGGTCGTGGAGGTGCACACCACACCTGCAGACACGAGGCAGGGTCACCAGTGAAACAGTCACATGTTAATTAGTGTCGGCTCCTAATCAAAGAAGACACTTTTCTAGAAGTGCCAATTGTTTAGCAGTGTCACCCATATTAACTGGCCGGTGTTTTTATTTCTTCTCGAGCCAACGGAGTCAACTGCCAGCCAAGATTAAAAATAAAACGTTGATGGCAACACCCGATATAGAAACACACACACACAAGTGATTAAACAGCAAAGGTTCCACGGATCTTCGAGCGTCTTAAGTGGCTCGTCTGAGCAAGCGCGGGCTTGCCAAGACCACTTCCTTGGCCCTCTCCACCGCAGCAATGAATTTATTTTATTGGCATGCTACCACACGCACGCGCAAGACAAACACCCACCCCCCCATGTGACCTTTTAACAGACTGTCGGGGGCAAGTGATGTTAGCTTCGGCATGGCACACATGGGGGCTAGGTACCCAGCACCCCGCCCGGCCACCTTTGTCTTCCTCGTGCTGATGTTTTGCACACTGCATCAGGTACTCATTTTGAGGCCGAGTCGACCTAGGGGAGGCCCAGTAACGGGTTTAAACACTCGCCACCAATGTTGGCTGTGAGCAGGAATCGAACTCGGGTCGCCGAGTTCATAGCGCAATGCGCTCACTACCGACCCTAATTTGCACTCCCGCTTTCCACGCGCGCGTGTGGCCTCCCTCCGAGACTCCATCATATCAGGGACACGCCGACATCATGCGGGGTTTGCAGCCAAACTCAAAGGGCCGGAACGATCGCCTCCTTAGCACAGCAGCAGGCGCTGCGGGCAGTGATTGCCAAATAAACTGTCACCTGCGTATCGGTGTCACGTGCATATAGCATCTGTACAAGAGTATCACATGCTTAGCAGGCATCTAACGGTGGCGGGGGCGGCGTCGATTGTGATTCAAATCAAATCAATCATGTCCGTGATGCATGCACTCGTCCAATTGTCCACGTACGTGAGCATCGATTATTTTCAATGTACGAAAATGATACGTTCATTATATGGTCACGTGACATCTGGGCTCATGGGGGAAACTCAACTGTACAAACGAGATTGTTACATATTCTTGGTTCTTTCGGTAAAGTCACGTTAAAGGGAAACAATAAAATAATACAAAATATATGTAACGTCGTGAGAATTGTATTGTTTTATATATTTTATTGTTTCCCTTTAACGTGACCGTAAGACCCAAGAATATGAATCACTGCAGTCACAAAAGCTTTAAATCGAGAGTGTTACAATTACAGAATCAACGCAGACGGCAACAAAAAATTTAATATAACCACAAACACCCCCCGCTTTGTGACGATTCAATGCGCATCGCTGGGCGAATCAACGCGGGTCTAACGAACGCTGCTGATATCAAAGATGCCGTCAAAACCGGTGTGCTGGGCATTGCAGCCCCCGGAGGGAAATCCCCAACGTTAAAAAGTCCGCTTCGTGTTTTTGGGTCGTCGCGTTGAGAGCACTCAAACGATCCTGGGAGAAGAACCGTCGATACCCATCAATAATTCAGCGAGCTGCAGCAGCAGCGGCGGCGGCTGCTGCAATCGACGAGAGAGCTCCCGAAAGACGCGCATCGGAGCTCCTGGGTGACGCTTTTTATTATTGCGCTGCCCTGGATCAAAGCCACGCTACTACTTTTTTTTTTAAATGACGGATTAAATAACAAGGGCCGCGGCGCTTATGATAAGCGCACGTGTCTTTTTTTGTCTAATCCCTCCGAACGTATTAAGCAGGGGGCCCTCCGGCCCGCATAGAGAGGCAGGGGAGGGTGGGGCCCACTCCACAGGGGCCTCATGCAATGGAAATAACTTTTCGGCAACTCTGAGGTGGCAGCTTCCCTGCAGACGCTCCACCGGGGGTGGCGGTGGGGGGGGGAATTCAGCGGAGATGGCGGCGACTCAAAGAGACGGGCACAAAAGGGAAGCGCCAGCCTTGGCTTCCAGACAGCGCCGATTCCCTCGTAGGAAAATTGAAGAAGAAAAAAACGGAAATGTGGCGCGGCGAAAGGGAGCGTGACCCATCGCGGCCTTGCCACGAGTCCGCTGCTCCGCCGATCTTCACGCGCGTGTCACCCGAGCTGCAGGGGAAAGTGAGACAAGGACATCTCTGCAGTCCCTCGGCAACCGTAAAGTCACGCGGCTACCGCAAGTGGTGAGAGGGTGAAGATTCGACCAAAAATACCCAACGGTTTGGGTGCTGAAGAAAGCAGCTTCCTCCACTCTCGTGTCACGGGGTCGCCTTTCGTGATCGGCGGATGGACGCCACTTTGGGCAAAGAGTTGTCATTGGCTTGTCCTAGGCCGAGCCAAAACCGATAAGGAGTGTGCAATTGAATGTGGTCACTGAGTTGAACGACCTGTGAACATCACATAAGAATGTTATTATTTCTAAAGGGTGCATATGAATACAATGGGCTTACTGTGTACACTGCAGGTCTCCCAAAGCACACTTTTGCCCCAACGGTCTCACGCCTACTCATTGGTTTTTTCGGTAAAGTCACGTATGTAGAAATACCATTAAATTATATTAAAATAAATCAATCACGACGTTTCGACCGCAACACAAGCGATCTTCATCAGGTGTAAAAAACAAATAGCGAGGGAGCATATAGGGCGACACCAACGTTGGCAACACAGAGAGTGCCAAACTGCACGGAGGTAAATACAACAAGAACATGAGAGACGAGAATTCAACAAACCTAAGAAAAAATTATGTGATGCAAAACCAGTCAGGCCAACAACACAGTTAGACACTTGCCTGGCGGACCACGAATTTCAGAACAGTTCTAAATTTCGTGTTCATCCTCTGGATTGAACATACCAGCATAGACAGTGAACAAATACGAGGTACAAGTCAGCAGAAATACATATACAGGGACACCAAGAGGCAAGGAGAGGAAAGACGGACAGAGAAGCAAGGAAAAATAAAAAGGGCCGGAGGGATGAACAGACAGAGGCCTTAAATAAGAAGTAGAGGTGGAGGGAGGGGCCGAAGAGAGCAAGGGGGGCACGGCAGCAGAGGCGGGGGGGGGTAGGAGAAAGCAAGGGGTGCAATACGTTTAGGACAGAATTGTAAAGGTAACTTCCCCGTAGAAGTGTGTTAATAAAGAATTAAAGCTTTCGTGACTGCATAAATTACTCAAGTAATTTATGCAGTCACGAAAGCTTTAATTCTTTGGTCTCACGCCTGCGTATTAGATCAAATTAAACGATCGATTCGCACGAACCATCGCGGGGCACGCAACGTCGTCGTGAGACCCGGCGGGGCTGAGAGCCCCGAGGCAGCTACTTGGCAGGAGTGACCGAGCTGTGAGAGCACCGAGCGAGAGAGGGCAGCACACAGTGGCAACACCCCAGCCATCATCCCCGCGGGCGGGCGATCGCAAGGGCTCCCCGTGTAAGCCAGCGCCGCCGTCCAGAAAACGTCGCTGGATAACCCAGTTTGGCCGGGCGTGCCTCGACTGGCCCAAACAAGCCTCGCAAACCAATTTGATATTTCCACCACCAATCGAGAAGCCATTGCCGGCTCTTCAAAGTGAGCGCGGGATTGTTCCGCGCCTCCTCTCTTCCCCCACCCTTCTGTGTGTGTTAAGCCCCCGGGCATTCTGCAGACAATGGATTGGCGCATCACCATTTACGAGATGAACGCACACGGCGGCATTTCGGTGCGGGAAATACTTTCTGGTTGTTATTGCATTTTAGACTCGAGCTAGTTTTGGCGCCACCTTCGCTGCCGTTTCATCACCCACGGCTGCCCGGGTACATGTGACCAGGTACACTGGGGGGCTCTCATCCGTGGACCAACTTATCGTAGGAATTTTTTTTAAATCGCTTAATCGTCGCAGTTTTCGTTTTTAAAGGCACTTAAAAACCACACTTTTTTTTTTAGAAACAACTTCACGTTGTCAACTCTTGCCCAAAGAGGCCCAGTCACGGTCCCTTACCGCACGGGATAATTGCCTGCCGGTAGCGCCGCACCAAAACGTCTGCACTGTCACCAAATGGTCCTCATTAAAAGCCGACCTTTCAATTCGCCGTGACCTCCTCGTTTCGGATAAGCGACCGCTCCCCCGGCCTCCGCTCGTCACAGTGACAGAGAGGCAGACAGGGGCCGGGCCGAGCTGCACGGCCATCTGGCCGGGGCCAGAAAGATCCGACGCAGGTGCGCGCATGTAGATGGTGTGCTTAGAATCCCCGAGTCGATGGGCGCAAATGTGCTCGCTCAAGATAAGTGTCTTAATCCAACCACGAATTACCGCTAATTTTATACACAAAAGCCCCATCCCGCACAAATAAGCACGCCGCAGATCATCCACTCGCCGCAATTACATACCGGTTTGCGACGCGCGTCAAGGCGCTCTTAATGAGCAACACTTGAAGCTGCGCGCCACCGTATTAAGTCGCTGCCATCTGGTCAGAAACGTCCACTGAGAGCCACGTTCGCGCCAGGAGCCACGGACGGCTGTGTCTGCGGCCCACGTGCCGTCGTGGCGACGCGCGTCACGGAATTCGACCGATTAAAGAGGAAAAACAAACGCGCGCTTGTGCGAGAACACAAGCAACACAACTAAATCTTGCTCACGAGTAAAAACAATCATGACTTAGTTATTCATTGAAATGGTGGCCACAATTAAATCTGTTGTGTGTAAAAGCACACGCAACATTATAGGTGGCGGAAATTATTTTCTCGAGCAGTCTGAAAATTAAGAGACCGGCTTTTTGGTTGGCGGCGCTTAAATATACGACTCTGTTTTTCTCATGACCCTCCGCGACCTCTGCTGCTGCTGCTGCCCCGCTCTGCCGCATTACCGGCACACAAGCCTCGGGGGTCGTGGCCGTCCCCCTCCGCACCTGACAACACCGCTCAGTGAAAACGAAGCGTCAGGAGGAGGGAAACTCAATTTGAAAAGATGTATTTTATCACAAAGGCCCCCTTCCGAAAGGATCGTCTTACGTGCAACGCGATCGCGAGT